CTCCACCACTCCCGTCTCCCTCCACCACTCCCGTCTCCCTCCACCACTCCCGTCTCCCTCCACCACTCCCGTCTCCCTCCATCATTCCCGTCTCCTTCCACCACTCCCTTCTCCCTCCACCACTCCCGTCTCCCCTGATCGTTGCCAATCATTATATCCCCTAATCGCATTTTCTCTAATCCATTTGTAACAAATTATCTTACTTCTAATGTCATTTCCACCTAATCCCGTTAATAATTATTAAACTGGATAATGTTTTGTAACGGAAGATCCGTTCAAACCCACACGTATCATGGAACTTTTTTCCAACTCCCGTTTGAAAATTTGAAGCAAACTTTAATCTTTATATCATTGAATAAAATTCATGTTTCCCAATTCGAAAATCTCAACTCACTATTTTAATCCAATGTCTTTTCCTTGTTATTTCAATGCCATATGATTCTACCTTGAAAATAAAATGTAAGGGTCATGTAATAACTTGACACGGATGGTGTTCAATGTACTCTCGAACAGCCCCTCTGTATTCACAACGCCTGACTTCCAATAAACACTCAATTGACATCGACATCTACGTAGTGATTTGTTAATTGTCAACTTATTTATGTAGCCAATTAGGTAGTAATTAGCCCGGAGTTTTCTGATTACTGTGTGTTGTTGCAAATTTATTGAGTTATATTGAGTTTGTACGATATTATTTATTGTTAGCAATTCTGGCCTCTGAGCATGGCTGGCGATCAAAGCTAACTTTTTCGGTGAATAATTAATGCCGATATAACAAATGTGAGATGTGTTTTATGATAAATTAAGTCTAAGTGTTGATCTTACCGTACGATGTCCACCATTACAGAGTGCATCTTGAAGCTGCGTGATGGCGGGCTGGAGAGCTCTGAGTGCAGCAGCAGCGCGCACAGCGAGAGTTTTGATGCCGAGGCTGCGCCCGCCTCTCCTGAACCTGCCACCAGGAAGAAGTCTCGCAAGTTTGTTTTTGCTTTAAAGTTGCTTCACAATGAATAATTCATAGAGTTTGATTATTTTTCCTTTATTATTCCCGGCAGGAACGAAAGAATCTGTTTCTTTAATGCCGCTGTTGAGGCATACTTTGGTAATGACGTTCCCTCTTTGTGTCACGTGCCCTCGAAGTTCGTTTGAACCAGACGCCACGATAAATGCTTCGTAGAATAATAATAATAATGACCTGAAAAAAACAAACTCTTTGGCCGGTGCCCGCGTCAGATTTAGCTTCGTGTGACATTTTTACATAGATCTATTGAACAATAAATTTGTTTATATTGAAATGTCAAAAACTAAGTTTCTCCATGCAAGAATGATGCCTCTGAATAATTCATTCAAATGTATTTTCTTTATGTGCTCAAATGTTCCACTAAATTTTTCTCTGTTCCACTGTTACTTGCATGAAAAATATATAACCCCTAGACATTTCTTTTACATTTTTTATGCCACAAGCGTAATTGCAAGTTTGTTGTTTACAGACAGGAAGTGGAGGCCCCGACAAGCTACATTCAGAGTTTGATAGGCCGCATCATCAACAACGTGAACGTGGTGTGCAATAATGTTATTCTTAAGTATGTTGAGGACGACATCGTTCTCTCCGTCAACGTTAAGACCTTCGAAATGAAGACTGTGAATGGTCGCTGGCAACCCACGTTTGTTGGTGAGTACGCACGATTGCTTGCTGGAATANTCTCCGTCAACGTTAAGACCTTCGAAATGAAGACTGTGAATGGTCGCTGGCAACCCACCTTTGTTGGTGAGTGCCCAGGATTGATTGCTGGAACATAACGATACCGTACTACTTCATATCTAGGCGTTCACTGAGATTGTTATATTCACTGCCACTGTATGGCCAGTAGTGTTCACACCCTTATCATAAGAATCATTGTTGTTCTCTGCTGATATTACAGGAAGATGAAATGTTACAGTTCCTTATAACTGGACTTAGTATTGTTAGCTTAAGTTACTGTTACTTTATCCTGCGTTCTGTTGTTACACGCGGGCAAAATTACGTGCCAATTGTTTGATTTTTTTACCATGTTGCTATTCTGCACCTGTTTTTTCGCTTGCGTTACCGTGCTGTTATTCTGTGCCTGTTGTTCACTTGTATTATTGCAAGCCCCTAAGTAGAGCTCAGACTCTAACTCGTTCATGCAGACCTCAGCTCAGAGGGCTACGCCTTGCGGCGACAGGGCACGCTGACCGACCTCACCGTCTGCCTAGACAAGCGCAATGCGTCTGGGAAGATCGATAACTATCAGGTGAGTATCATAGTTCTGGTACTGACTCATCTATTAGGTGAGTGTCATAGTCATGGTACTGACTCGTCTAACTATCAGGTGAGTATCATAGTCCCGGTACCGACTCATTGAGTATCATAGTCCCGGTACTGACTCATGTAACTATCAGGTGAGTATCATAGTCCCGGTACCGACTCATGTAACTACCAGGTGAGTATCATAGTCAGGGCACTGACTTATAAAGCTGACTATCAGGTGAGTTTTTTGGAGTTGCTCCCTCCAAAGTCTTGAATCTTACTCGAATATTTTTACTCGCGTTGTTTGTCTCATCAATTCATTTATTTCTATAATATGGTATGTTGTAATTTTGGGTCGCAGTTTCCCCGCAATCATTCATATACCTATGTAGATCAATCCAGAAAATGATTTTTCTTTTAAGATATTTTAGCTGAAATTCAAAGTGAATTGAAGTGTTATATTTCCCAATCTCATGAACGTTTCTGGACAAATTTCAGTCATCATTGCAGCCCCGTGCAGTCAATATTAAAATATTTTAACATGGAGATAGTACACTACATGGAGATTAGGGACCTCATTTTGGCTGTCTCTGGTCTGAGGTTATCCATTGTGTATTTCAGGAACCTCTGTTGTACCGATGCTCGATGTCCCTGCGCATCGTGCAGCAATACTCTGCCTCAGGCTCGTCAAACGTCCCTCAGAGCTGCACGTATCACCTCTACTCGCCGCTGCTGCACTTCTCCCTCTCCGACACTCAGCTGCCCATGTTTGCGCGGCTCGTGAGTCTTGCTTTGGCTCTGTCCAACGGAGACCTGGGCGCTAGAGACGCTCCGAGGGACTGCGACACCAGAATGCAGCACCCCCGCCAGCAAGGTGATGCCGGTGTTGTCATATTCAAGCATAATAATAAAATTTTCATGCATTTAACGAAAATTGGCCGTTTTATTTTCAGGATGCATTCATTTTAACATGGATCTTGAACGTGCACCTGGGCACGTTGAACACGTCCTTCGTCTCCATGTGATCGTAGCAGTACGGTATCTATGAGACTTTTGCCGCAACATGACCTGTGCCTTGCTAGTGGTATTGGGCATAGTGCGTATTAATAGCATTAATTTTATTGTTTTATTTGCACGCAGTTATTCAAAATCTTCAAACAAATTTGCTAATATAAATACTAATCCATTGCAGAGAACCTAAGAACGAAAGACCCCCCAGCGATCACACTCCCTGTTTCGAGTACCGCCCCTCTGGGGGGAGGAGTGGGTGTAGGGACCGACCCCCGCAATGCACCTCCTGGGGAGGATGAAGGGGAAGACTCTTGGTCGTCCTGGGCGTGGTCTCTGGGCTCAGCGCTGCTCCCCATCTACTGGGAGGAGGTTGATGACCTCGAGGACGGGGAAGCTTCTACAAGAACTGAGCAGGAGGCGCACCTGCTGCACAAGATGAAGAGGACTCTTGAGTTCGGACTTTATGTTGAAACTGCCTCGTGGGTATTTAAGGTACGTCTGCGCTTTCTAATTGAAAATTAAATAAGCTATTTACTACGCGAATTGAGTCTATCATTGCACTTGATTTGTAGTGAAAGCTATTATAATTTGAGGTGTCTGCTCTACTCTAGACATTAATTAAATTCTTTATTGAGCGAATATAGTTTATCAGCAACTATAGTTTATCAGCAACTAAAATTTCAATTATTATACTTAACAGTTTTACAATATATATACGTACTAGTAATTGGCATCACATTTCTAATAATTCATTCACATCAGGCAACAGAGTCGAGCCAAGACGTTGGCTACTTCGGCCCTACACGCATGCGTTTCCGTCCGTTCCTGCGTGCCGTGCAGCGCGGCAGTTTCGTGACCGTGAAGCTGCGCGGCGTGTCTGACTCGCACGCTCAGCTCGCCATATCGGAGGTGTGTTGCTCCTCAGGGCCATACTTTCAAAACTCGCTAAGTGAACGTAAGTACTTACGCTCTTTTTTCTTGTCTATGATTGGTGCATTTTGCTTGGAAGGCCCTCTATGATTGGCTGTTGAACTTACGATCTCTTAACTTTTTTTGAAAGTATAGGCCCAGCTGGTCTACGGAGTGGGCATAAAATCCCTTCAGTAATATCAAAACAAACAAAGTTTATAGCTTTTTTCCATGCAATAGAAAACTGATTCATACAATTGAGTGCTGCTTTGCATGTACCATGTGTAATGGTAATGTTTGGTTGTTTCAGATGGTTGTCGAACCGTTGGGTGACACTTGTATGTGCGGCATCACAGAGAATTTCAACACTGAAGATGAAGAGGTTTGTGCATTTTGGCAGCATTTGAAGTTGTCTGGATTTTTTGAACCAATTATCTTCACAATTATTTGTTCGTGATACCGACTGGCAATGAATTAAATATATTTTACAATTATTGCCTGAAACCACAAACTATGAAATTCTTCCGTGAATTGTAATATTTTTTATTTTGTCATGTCATATCTTGATGCGGATCTGCGATCGGCCGTAGAGATTTGAAAACTGCAGGATGCTGGCTGATGAATTTATTGAGCTACAGTTGCTGCTCAGTATCTAGGAGCTACAGTTGCTGCTCAGCATCTAGGAGCTACAGTTGCTGCTCAGTATCTAGGAGCTACAGTTGCTGCTCACTATCATAACCCTGGTCCTAATTTCGTCTCACTTCAGCAGAGTTTATCTCGTGAAGCTTCCCCAGCTCCCGGAGCGCCAAGCGAAGCCTCGGGCAGTGGGGCAGGGTGGCGGGAGTCTGACTCTTCCCCTCAATACCTGGCGTGTGGGGAATACAGTGAGGGTTACCTGGAAGGCTCCCTATTTGTTGACGAAATGCCAAAGAATGAAGAGGAAGATCGCAAGGATGATGCCGTCGGTGAGGCGTACAGCTGATTTCCTTCATTAAAGAAGCTATGAATTTTTTTTTATTTGAGTTGTGCAAACAATTTGCTGGGGGATGGTGAAGCCTGCTATTGTTCTTTTTTTGTGAAAGTGAAACATTGTTGAATGAAGCAGGGAAAATTGTCCGTGAAAGATTTTGATAGCACTTAAGTGTGATGAGTAGTTAGATAGTATAACCCATTTTGTTTCGAATTAAACCTGGCATCCTATTTTCTCGAATTTAATCTTGCATCCTAATTTTTTGATTGAACCTTAAACGTTATTTTCTTGAATTAAAACTTAAGCACTCTTTTCTTTCATGACCTGGGACGAATTTTAGTGGTCGTCAACTACAGTAATTTCGTTTTAATCTCGGAACTTAATCAAACATCATTACCATATTTTTATTCATGCTCTAAAATTTAAATCCTTACAATATTTCCTAATGTATGTCTGCTGATTTGTTAAGAACAGCCTAAAATTTGTAAATATTAAAGTTACTTAATCCATAAGCATTTTCTAGTGACCGAAATGTTGTTCTTAATTTCTTCAGAACGTGAGTCGTTGTCAAGAGGGGCGGCGGTTACCCTGGACTTCAAGTATCACTTACAAGTGCCTGAGGAAATCTCTGCTGAACACCTGGCTCGCTTATTTGCTAATCTAGAATACAGGTATTATGTTTGTATAAGTAGTGAAATATCAATTATTTGTATCGTTTAACTTATTATCTACATAATATTTTCTTTAGTAGGTAATGTTCAATATTATATGCCCATAGAATCTCCACTACCGTGTTTACTGAAAACTATTGAAAACTTTTAATTCGAACTTTTTCTATGTATAAATTGTTTAAATTAGAAGGCATAGTAAGCAAGTATTTCTAAGCTGTTTTGCTGCAAGCTCCGGATCGTAAACTTTTCTTGGCAACTTCAATCTGAAGCAAAAGTAAGCAAGTATCTATTGTTGCAACCTACAGAGCGTGAACTTTTGTAATCGAGTTTCGTTTTTTTCTTTCCTGGCATGAACTTCTGATGATAATAAATGAATGATTTTCAGTGATTTAGCGGAGCAGAGCGCGTGCCGCGTCACCGTGGGCGAGTGTTCCGTCAACTGCTGCTCGGGCGCCCACCACCGCGTCTCTGCTGTGCTTGACGCCCTCGCCGCATACGACTACGCGCCTTACTGCACCACCGCCCTCAATGGTGCGCCTCGAACATCCGTAGTTGTACTCAAATATTTTTTATAACTTGCATGGCATTAAAAACGTTTACTCAGACTGATATCTCATTTTGTGAACGAAAATATAGCTTCTGTAACGTGGTCACTATGGCAGTAGTTTTTTTCGGAATTTTAGAAGCAAGGTACATTTGACTCATTTTATCTGCGCTATCAGCCATACGCTACCAACTCTGGTGTAGTGCATTGTTGTTGACTAACGATAGTGGTAATGTGGCTCTCATCCATCTTGTTGATAAGTGGTCATTGTAGAGGTATGAATAACTATTACAGTGAATTTGAAAATTACCAGCAGGATTCTGGATAACAGGAATATCCTATCTGTGCTTGTGAATAATATCTTCCCCATAAGCGTTGCTTGGGCAATGATCACAAATGAGCCATTTGAACATATTAAGACTCTTCCAATAATTTAAAGTACGATTTATAGCATTGCTTGTAATATAGTACATAGCGGCGATCCATCGTGGCCTGGGACTGCTACGTCCCATTAAATAATATGGAACTAAGAGCTTTGGAGTTTGGAGTAGTTTTCCATCTATGAAATTGGCCAGCGGATTTTGGCTTATGAGTACAAACTAAGTAGTGAGCGGCTGGCCCTGAGCGCTACATAACGACCATGCGTCCAGTGACGGGAGCTTGCCATCCAGTTAGGGTAGAGACCACTGAAGAAACCTCCACTTCAGACCATACCGCAGACCTTAAATATTTCACTATTCTGACAACCACCAAACAGATCTTCACATTTAAGCACGGACAATTTCAAAGATGCTAATTAACTTGTGCTCGCTCTCCAGGAAACATTTATCATCAGAATTAAAGCACATATTCGTGCATAATATTTAATGCTGATGACTTCTTTGGCAGGCTCGGCAGCAGCACACGAGCAGCCTAGTGAACATGACGTGGCCATGGCGACGTCAGCATCCCTGCCTACAGTCGTGCTGACGCTCAGCATACGTGCCCCCAAGCTGCTGCTGCATGCTGCGCAGCACCCTCATGCTTACCGTCCTGTCCACCTGCTGAGCAGAAGGAAAAAGGTTCTGTCATGGCCTTTAATGCATAAAAAGCTGAATTTCACGTGTAGGAAGTAGCTTTATTATAGGCAAATCGAAATGTCTGAATGTTAGGTAAAGAGCTTGCTGATGTATGGTTACAATCGATTAATTATCTTTCATATTCCATGCTCGTGCAAAATGATCTGGCCATTATTGGTGTTCTTTGGGCTAATTTACCGACCGCAGGCTTATGGATATTTATTTATGCATTTCTTTTCTTGTAGCGAAGTATCGCTGCGGTGGAGGAGGAGGAGGGCGTGGTGCTGGTGGTGGGGGCACAGCGTGTGGAGGTGGAGTGGCAGCAGCCGATGTACACACGACGTGTCGCCCTTACGGCCGCCAGTGTTGCGTCAGGCGTCCTGACGGTCGGACAGCAGAAGCGTGACGCCGTCATGCGCGCCGCCCGCTCCTCCCTCAGCGTCAAAGTGCGGCAACCCTCAACAGTCCCACTCACGCAGAGAATTTAATATTCGTGATATATTCTTGCATATAAGTATATTTATCTGGTATTTTTGATACTATCCCTCTCTCCGGTACATTAGAAAGTATCAACACCGAATGCGGATGTTAGTTTGAACTATTTAGTATGACAAACTCATTACTATGTGGCAGACCGCTTTTTGATTTCAAGAAGAATTTGTTCATTTATTCTGTTCATTTCAAAATTTATTCAATTTCCTAGTTTCATTTTTATGATAATTTTCCTCATGACGTGTGTGTGTACAGGTGGCTCAGTGCAGCGCGTGGCTAGTGGATACAGAGGACGGTGGCTGCGTCTGCGTGCTGCAGGATTTTAAGCCAACTCTGCAGCTCTGCAAGCTGCTGCTGCCTGAGCTGCATGCCGCCTCTGCTGTTCAGCTCAAGCGCTGCTCCTTCTCAGGTCAGTTCATGTCAAATTTATTATTTTTTAGCGCATTTTCTAATTCTCATTTATGGAAAAAATGCCCTATCGTTCTCGTCATGTCCGTCCGTCTGTCTGTGACTTTACGTTTTTGTCAGCGAGAAAATGCGCTCTCTGTCACTCACTGCAGTGAGTACTGAGTTATATTTTTTTAATGTTTACTCTTCCTAAATATAGACAAATTTTGCAATTAGCTTATTAGTATTAATTTATTTCTAGTGTATAATTACATAAATGGACATTTATTGTTGTTCTGCATGTATTACCTGCTAGTATTTGTGCTGGTGTGAAATTTATTTTTATTTTAAGTGATAAAGCTTCTTGGAAAATATAATTATGAGAGCTTGTGTTACGTTGCGCCTCTTGCTGTCAAAATTCCTGTGACAGTTTTCTGAAATGTTGGAGAATTTTCTTGGCGATCCTATTTAATCGAAATATTTTAGTGAATCACACTTTTGGAAAATCGGATCATTAATTCGTAGAATGGCGAATGAATGTTGGTTCTTATTACGGTTTATAATTTAACGGAACCTGGTTCGCACTATCAAAACTCACTGTTTTACGCAGCGACCTAAGTACATGTACTGGTCAAGTACACCTTGCAGCCTAAGTACCTACTAGTAGCGGCAAATTTCTCGCCAATGATTGGGAGCTTTAGCCTGAAAAGTCGACAGTGATTGGCTGACGGAGTTACAAACTCATAACCGCTTTAGCGCATTTTCTCATTCATGGAAAAAGGCAATATTGTGCTCGTCATTTCCGTCTGTCTGTCTGTGACTTCACGTTTTCGTCGATTTTGAGAAAATGCGCTCTTTGTCACTCACTTCAGTGAGTCTTGAGTTATAATTTTAATTCGTTCGGCCAAATCTCCACTTCGCAAATCTCCCCGCAGGCGGCGCCGTGGTCGGCTGCAACGCTGCGCAGCTGCTGCTGTTCACGCGCCTGGCGTCCTCGTGGCTGACCGCGCCCCACCGCCACGCTGACACCGTCGTCAGGGACGCCATCCACCAAAGTCAGCTGCTGTAGCTATTGTTCGCATCACACACTCGCCTCATTTCATCCGTGCTTCTATAATTAATAACTCGCTCCTTAGTAATCGATGTTTTAATCACATGTAGTTTCTACTCAATTAAATGAAAGTTCGAAATTGGACGGAACATGCATAAATAACGATCTTTTCTCCGTGCTAGAATAAACTTTTTCTTAACATGACTGGGAGGATTTACTGAAATGATAATTGATTCCTGCAGAAAGTCCGGTGTTCTGCGTGCGGATGAAGCAGCTGATGGTTGATGTCGCTGGCAGCGCCCAGTCTTGCAGCGCGGTGCTCTCGCTTGAAGCTGCTTCAGTGTGCCTCAGGGAGGCGTCGAAGGTGGTGCGTGCTGCTCCTGCTCCCGCTGACACTCCTGAGTCTGTCTCCGCCGAGGAAACTAAAATAGCCAGCGGCATTTCAAAGAAGACTTCAAGTTCTCACAAGCGCCTTTTGGAATTGGCAAAAGTTGTTCACGGAACGGGCGATCACATTGATGGAAAAGTTATATGCCTCTTGCTTGCAGGGCCTGAGAATCGTGGAGGCCTTGAGGTTTTGCTACCGCAAAATGAAAGTTCCAGTGACCATCTCGTACGTCTCTCTGTGCATTGGCCCTATAATTTAGAGGATGAAACATCTTGTCTCATTTTTACATTAGGTATCCAGAAGACCTCTGTCTTATTGGACTCAAAACTTATGGATTTCCTGTCGTACTGTCCTCGCAAAACTCCGTCCCGCCGATCCTACGAACGAATTCTTAGCAAACGCGTCTCTGAAGTTCGGAGCAACCGCCACACTTCGGGCGGCTCTGCCTCTGAGACCGGCACGACGCGGCGGGATTCTTCTACCACTTCCGAGGTGCAGACGAGCAAAGCTGCCCAGTCTCTCATCTCACGCCCTCCTCAAACCTCCAACCATTTATCCGCTAACGGGGAACCCACATCGTGGAAACATAGCGTTTCTAAATATTGTTCCGTGTTGCAGCGTCTGTTGTTGCATGTAGACCTCCAATCCTGCACCGTCTTCCTTCCCGGGTGCTCACTACAGGTGTGCTGCGAGAGCGGACTGAGCACCGCGATACACAGGACGTATCTCACCCGCCATGAGCGCCCTTGTCTCGCTGACACGCTTGTCTTCGTCTTGCCTCACGTCGTCCTCCGTAACGCGGCCGTCAGAACCAACCTCGTCAATACCATCACTCAACTGCCTATTACCCTGCCCCCTGACTGCACGGCACCTGGTGGGTACATTGTTCTTCTTTTGCCGCATTGTAAAAATTTTTACATCTGCATAGCCTCTGTTAAGTCCTAAGGCTTTTTATCTTTAATATTGACCCGAATCCATTGTAGTTCAACACTTCTCGCAGTTAAGATCGCTTAAATGTTGCCCATGATATTACAATTAATTAATTTTTATTAAAGACGTATGAAGCTAAACTGATAGGAAAATATTCATATTCTGATATAATATGCAGATGATAAAAATATTCAGATGATATAATCAGCAGGCAATGATGTCTTTTAGCCTGGTATAAATGTGTGGTGGGTTGTGCAGGCTTCAGAGCCGTGCCCTGGTCTGCCAGTCTGCGGGAGTTCAGCACGTACAGCCTGCAGGCGGCAGGCGCTCACGTCCGCCTGCCTATCCTCAAGAACGTCCACACCACCGCCACCATCTCCATCGTCACCAAGCACAATAAACCTGAGTCTAAGAGCAGGGACTCCAAGTCCACTAGAATGGACGGTAATTATTTCAAATAAATTGCAACTCAGAATTAGATAATTACTTTCAATTGACTCTTTCTGTAAACTTATAATGCCTACAACAAAGTAGTGACCAGTAAAAATTAATACTTCAGTCAGAAGTAATATTCTTTTATATTTTGAATTTCTTCTCAGAGCGTGAACAAATTATTAATTTCTAAATAAATCCCTTTAAAAGAGTATGAATAGAAAAAATCTATCGATTACTGCTGGAACTTTCAATGCTTAGTCATGCCTACCTGCTGAGCAATATATTTGAATTAATTAATCATATCAGTATCCTCACCTATAAAATTCATAGGTGAAAACGCTGCAACTGGCGCACCGAAACAAGAAGGTTCGGCGTCTGCCCAGGATGCTGCGAAGACCGACGACCTGCCGGCGACGAGTAACAGCATCGTCGTGCACGCGGACATGTCTCCAGTGCGCGTCTGTGGGTCGCGCAGGCAGGTCGTCTCGCACGTCGCTCTTGTGGAATCTTTCCTGCGATCACTGGTCCTCTTGCGTGATAATTACCTCAATTACTCGGTAAGACTCGTTCAACTTATCCTTTGGAATTATTTTTCTTAATTTTTCCTTTAAATTCATTAAATCTGCGTAACAAACCACTCTTTGTCTTTTTATTATGGAAAACTTATAAAAAAATTCCCAACGTAATTTTTATATTTTTCAGACAAGCGATACATCTCCCACTACAGCTGGCGCTGTGTCTACGTCGGCAGCTGTGACGTCTACCGCAGCTGTAGGAGTAAAAAGCGATGTAAACGAGCCCGTCAAAGCAGAAACTTCCCCTGGTCTTTCTGCTTGGATGCAGTGGACGGTAGCGAAGGTCTCAGCCACTCTTTATGCTGAACAGAAGCAACTTCTACAGCACGAGAAAATTTTCCAAGACGGTGCACCTTTAAAGCCTGGTGCTTCCTCACCTTCCAAAATTCAACTTCTAAGTAGTTCTACAGCACCTGACCACACGGCTGCTCCAAGTTTGCCAAAAGTCACACAACAAAGCCCGCGCAGGTTCGAAGAGCCCGGAATCTCGAGCCAACGCGTCAGCGCGGACGAAAGAAAACAAGAGACGCGCCTGCAAGCCGAGCTCGAGGACCTGACGATGGCCATAGACCTGCAGCAGGTCTACACTAAGATCAAGTGTAGAGTAACGGCTTTCAATGTTCTACACTCTGAACTAGTGTAAGTTAATGGTGCATTTTTACATTAATGGTGTCGGATTTTCTCAGAATATTTTCTATGTTTGAAAATATGTTCCGTACGATTATGATGATCACTTTCTTCACAAGTGTAATTTTCATTGCTTGTAAACTATTTGCAGTAACAACGTCTGGGTGCCTGGAAGCAACAGCGGGATTGTGATAGCAGCTCATCCAAATGAGTCCATCCGTCAGGATATCCCGATTTTCTGTCAAGTGAAGAAGACCTCCTCCGAGTCCCACGACTCTAACAACTCCGTAGGGGGCGACGAAGGCGATGCAGGCGAGATACGCAGCAGCGGGCAGCCACCACTGGCGCCCGTGAAGCAACACCACGGATTCTTATCCTTCACACTTACGTCGGCGGTCTGCAAAAACGTTCATGGCAAGTGGAACCAACTGCTCAGCAGAGAACATCAGGCTGAGAGGCAAGTCTCTAGTGTAAGGGCATTTTACTTTTGCTTCTCATGGACTGGATTATCCAGTACTAGTGTTAATAGAACAGTGGCGTCTTCTCATTCATTTGCTCGTGTTAATGAGCGTCAAGAATTTCGTGTTCCTATGAAATGATCTTAAATCTGGACTTAATAATTTATTCTTATTGTGAAAAGAATAAATGCACTGAAAAACTTGTATCGGAGAGTCGGACCAAAAATAAAAATTTGAATTTCAATTTGATTTACAAAAACTTAATCTAAAACACTGGGATTACCTGGATTAGCCCGGCAACGCCGGCTGTTTTATTTCATTTTAATTTGCTCTGTATGTTTTCTTGCCTATTTTATTATGTTTTAATTGGCTCACAATAAGAGTGTCTGATTCTCAGAGTACAAGGCGAGTCCACAAACAACACACTCACTGAAGTGGACGTGAGAATACAGCCTCTGGATGTCATCTTTGAGCCAGACACTCTGAAGCCCTTCATCCGCGTCTACGAGCCTTGGCTCCATCTCAAACTTCCCGCCACTTTATTCACTGACGCCGAGACTTCATCTCACGATCCTGATATTCACGAAGAGGCTGAAGATTTGAATGGTCGACCCACCGAAAACACTCGCGCGCGCGCCCCAACCGACGCCGAATTATTACACAAGGAACCTATGGGTATGAGCATCAACAACCGCACTCTGCCGCTCCTGTACGTGCACGTTGAAGGCATGAGATTGTTTTTACCGAGTTGTGTTGTCGATACTTCCTTGACATGTGGACACGACCTCGTCGTCCTCCAGTTCTCGTCGCTGCTCATCACGCCTCAGGTCTGCATAAACTACCTGCCTCTTGTGTTTGAACTTTTTTGCACCTTCATCCTTTGTAAGTGGCGGTTGCATTGTACTTGAGAGTAAGATTCGTTCCAATAAAATATATGCGCCTCCAATTATGGACCAAACTAATTCTTTCAGAGGTTTAACTCTCCGCCCAAATCATCATTTACCTTTCATCTCATAGATTTGCAAAACATTTTACTCAGTGTGTTGATTTGCATTACACGACACACCTTAATCTCCTATATATATGACATTGACATTAAAGTGGCACGAACTGAACTATCGTGCTCATTGTGTGCAGGTTGAGAACCCGGTGGAGCGCATCATCGTGCGGAGGGACATGTGGAAGTTAGCGGAGCAAGCTAAAATTTTGACGTTGCCGGGCTCTGTGCTGGAGGACCGCCAGTACCAAGTCGACCTCACCGCCATCGCCGTGTCTTCCGGTGAGCGCATCGCGTTTCGGTTGCACAAAACGAACTTGTTGATTGGAGAAATCGCTGCACGGGTTTGACACAGGGGGTTTCAACATATGGTATTTGGAAAGATCCCTTTGGAGAAACAAAATTTGAAGCAAAAGTCCGTGTAACGAGCAAATAAAAGTCATCGCAAAGGTCATCATAACGTGTAACGATTTCGTATGTTCTTGTTTCCTACTGCTGGTTTAAAGCAATGCATTGATCTAGACAAAAATTTTCCGTTCCCTGCTGGGACGCTAAAAATTTCCATGTGTCACATTGAAATTACTTCCATCAATCTTCCATTAGGTGAGATTCTACATGTGACATGAAAGTAAATTTCACTTGAAATGAAGTGCACGAGGTAAAGTCACCACTCGGAGGTCGTTTTGGTTTACACTGGTATTCTTTACTCATAAATCATTCACTAAAATTTTGGCACTACTCTACATTTTGACTACAATATGCCTCGTCCAGGCCGTTGGTGCGACGTCCTATCGAGGGATGACCAGAGTCGCCCTCGGTCGTGTTCTGGCGACCAAGTCCTGCTGATGGGGGAGAACCCGGCTTTGGCGTGGAACAACTACAACCCCAGAGAGAAACCTCCCAGCACCGGCATGCCACCCCTCCAGCCCATCGTCGAGAGGTCTTGGACGAAGTGGCCTATAGAATACTCTTGGTTTCAGACTACACATTGGAAGTTCTTGGTATCCGCGCTTGCAAACGCTCATCTTACGTGTTAGTATGTGTAAATATTGCGCTAATTTTAATTGTAACTCAATTTTACAGATTTGCGCTGCGCTTGATTTTTGCTCCAGCGGCTGTGTATGAAGGGGAGTGGCTGCTGAACAAACCTGGACCTCCTGACGCCTCGGAGCGACTGTCACGGCAATCAAAGAATAAAAAAGAAGAAATGCGGCGAAAGAAAAGCAAGCCATCACCTACTGATCCTAAGAGACGCCCGAGCGAAACAAACGCCCAAGGAACAAATTCATTGGAATCAGGATTTTCTGTGCAGCCTAAGTCTCTTAGTTTTTGTCTGCTTCAGCAAAAACAGCGTTACGGCCCAGACTGCTTACCAAGTGAACAAATACAAACCAGTACCCAAGCTCTCGCAGCCGCTCAGCGCAGACTGCTGGTGGCTGGCCACTCGCTTGAAGTAAACGCCATCACGCCTGTGAAAATTTCGCTCAGCATGCCTCAGCTCTGTCTTGTCACGAATATTGTACGGGAAACCACGGAACTTTTCTCTATTTTTAAAAGTCCTAAAATATTGCCAGACTCAACATCTGCGAGAGTTGTTGGCCTAGACGTTGCTGACAGTGGCGTTGATTGTGACGCCTCCAGTCCTGACGTGAGATTATTAACAGCTGCTGACAAAACAAGCCCAACTAAATCTGCGCCTGGGTCTCTCACGCAAAAGAAACTCGCCATAAATACTACAAGAACCAGCGTCCAATTCCCATCCATTGAAGAGAACATTTCCCTCGCGGGAAGCAGTGGTCTTGAGACCAACGTCCCTCAGAAAGACTTGCTCGGTGTCCCTGTCCGCATCACGTCCGCGGAGACAAGTAAACACACCGCCAGCTCCGTGGGGCCCAGCAGCATTTCTAGTCTCTGCCAGAGTTTCAGTGCACGTCTGGCGGCTCTCGAGGGAACATCGTGTGTGCCAGATACTCTTGAGCTCGTCCCTTTCGATGTTTTGCTCACTGGGTCGTACATAAGCTGTTGTTTGTACGATAAGAAACTTGATGAACCTGGTGCTTCATCGCTTAAGTCTTCAAAAGTAAGTTTGGCCCATTCATGCTCTAACGAAAATAGAGTGAAATAACATCTTTTATTTTAAAACACTCCAGTCTTCTGCAAAACGATCGAATATTATTTTGTTAGAACCAGTTAGACATCACCTTCTTGAATTTTAGTTCGCGTAGCTCTCAATTAGTAATGTTGAGAACTGATAGTTAACTAACATCCGAATAATCAACTTGTTGTACGTCTATTGATCAATGTGTAGTTACAAAAATAATGTTACACTTCATACTATATTTATTTAGCTTAATTAGTGAGGTGAATAATTTATCGATTTTCGCTAGTACGCGCTACATTTCCACACGCAGAAGACACATCGCAGCAAGCCTGACAGACGGTGGCGTCAAGCTGCCCACGATGCCAAAGAAGTTCTGTCCACCGAGTCTGAGGCGTCACCCGTGCACGAGCCTTTAAAGCCTTCAGCCACCGACGCAGTGTCTGCTGCTGGCGCCCAGAAAGTGGACGTTCTTGCTGCTGCTGGTGATACACATGTCACCTACGAATCATGCCGGCAAAATTCATCTGTGCTCGGCTCTGGCGCGGCACGAAATCCCTCGGAGCTCATCAAAGTCCCGCAAGGTTCAAGCACCGATCATACTTGCCTGTCCTCAACATCCGCCCCTTCCGTGTCCCTTACGCCTGCTGTGTCCACGCCGCCGTCTTTCGGGGAGCGGGAAGATGGGTGCGTGATGCAGATTTCCTTCGACAAACTGTCAGTTATTCCTTCTGCTCTGTCATAGTAAAGGAGCCTCTAGGTTTTAGGATTTTTATGATGGCTCAATCCTTCTACTTCTGATCTTCAATTTTTTATTGTTTTTAAATCTTTGAATAACTAGCACCACCCACCCACTGCAGCTACGAAGGCTCTGAAGAAGGCAGCGTGTGCGGCAAGAAGACCAAGGCTTGCTCGACTCTTGCCAGCGACGGCGACACGGCAGGGCCGCGGCACCGCGTCCTGCCGCTCGTGTACGCGCTGGTGTCGCAGCCACACGCCCTCTTCAGCCTCTCCTCCACCCGGAACAAGCTCGAGCTGTCCTGCTATGATCTCGTGCTACGAGGCGCGCCCATTGGCAACTCTTCTAAAGGTAATGATTATTGTAGAAACTACACGGGATTTTAAACTTTCTGAGCTTGAAATCCTTCAAAGTCAAAAAGGATTTAAACTTTGAGTTTGAAATCCTTCAAATTCTTATTGATTTTAAGCTGCTAAATTTACTTTTTATAATTTGGTTGTTTATTCGATAATTTGGTTGTTTAGTCGTATACATTGAATTGTATGTTTTCCTCGCATAACCGTTCAGTCAAAATGTATAATTCAGCTATGATAGACTTCACAGTAAAAATGGAAAATTTCTCGGAAAATAAATTTTTACTTTCACATGTACTATATTGAAAGTCTCATATAAACGGCAAAAGTCACATTTTAGGTACAAGTTTGACGATTTGTGTAGGAGGAAGCATTGGGGAGGTCGGGACAGCTCAGGACCATCCGACAAGTCTGCTGGAGACAAGGACAGGGTCGCCGCACCCCAAGACAGGCGTCCCGCCCGCTCTTTTCACCTTCTCCTGCCACGACTTCCTCACCAGGCCTGGTTAGTGTCCGGCATCACGCATGGGAGTGTCGGTATTTACTTAGTCGTCTGAAATAATTGGCCAAATGATGGCAAAAACTCTAAATAAATACGAATTCATATGACAGTTTTTGTTGGGCTGTAATTTCTTTGTTAATTCTTCATTGTTTTTGGCTGAAATGCCTGCTGGCATTGTTCCATATTTGATATCGTCAATTTTTTCTTGAACCATTGCATTGCAGACTTGATTGCTAATTATTTCCTTCGGTTTGCAGCAAAAATTAAGGTTGACGTTGGGAAGCCAGTACGCGTGACCCTCAGTGACGACAAATTCCATGAGATGTCTCGAGTGATTGCGATTCTTGGGAACAAATTTTCGAGTTTGTTCCCTGCAACTCCAGAAGAAGTTCCTTGTGCAGTTGAGACATCGACAATAAATACAGAGGATCCATCAGCTTTTGGAATATTGAGAGCGTCCTTGACACTCGTCGATTCAATCGCGTTTAGCTCCAGCGAAGTGGTTTTGGAGCTGAGCTTCAAGGATGTCGAGAATTCAGACGCGCCTTGGAGCAAAGTTGAACAGAGCTTTCAGAGACTTCATGCCTCTGTGTCTGCCGTTAGAAAAAGGACTTCATACAATGTTTTGGACTCCCACACTTCTACAAATAAAGCCCTTAACAAAGTTGAACAGATATCGGAAATAAATTTTTTGGCTAGCATACAGGATTTCGAAATGCAAACGCGACACCACGGCCTGAACTGCATTCCCTTGATTAAGCCATGGAGCTTTGGAACGTCATTAAAGTACTCGTGGATGCCATGGTCTTCTAGTCCTTATATTGAAGCTACTCTTAATTCAGAAACTCCACTCTTGATCGACATCGGTCCCGAGCATTTGTTTTGTCTCTCTGATGCGTCCCAGTACATTTCATCCAAGTTTTCGACATCTGAGAAAGCTGAAAACATGCCTTTGCCTAAAAACACTCGGGCTGTGCCCTGTGGTGACGGATCAATGGATGTCATCTACCAAGATGACCTGCGCGCTGGCGTCTTCCAGTACTTCAAGAACTCGTCCAATAAAGAGCCGAAGCCGTACCAGATCCTCTTCGACAACGGCTCCGGCACGATGACCTGGTGCTACCCGGAACCGCGGGCTCTCACTCGCGTGGACATCTACCCCGTTCCCTTCGTGGCGGCATCAGACGTGACCACAGCCACCACCGACAGCAGTTCCAACGACAAGGTTTCCTGCGCTCTGCAGTACTACGACTCGTTGCGAGCCGAGTTCCTCACGTACCGAGAATTTGAACTCTCGGAGTGCGAGCCCTGCCATCTAGAACTTCCGAGCCTCTATGAGAAACATCGTGTGGCGGTTGCTGCGACATGGAGAATTTACCTGGACTATTGGGAGGATGATCGACAGGGTCCCGTCGGCCGAGTTTTAGTGCCAGCCACGGCCCTCGCTGCGTGTATTCGAGTGGATTCTGTGTTTTCTATCCCGTTGTGTCCTCAGAAACAATTTTATTTCAGTTTGCATACGTTGGAAATTGGACTGCAAAACCAACGTTGCTTGGCCGGCATGAAGCTTCCGCCTGAGCTTCAGAACTTTGACCTCGTAGAAGAACTCCCCGACGAGCACGAGTTTCTAACAATCTATTTTGAAGCGACAAAAATTCATGGGCAAGCCTGGAGCTCGAGCATGTGTTGCAACGCGCGCTCGTGCATCAGAATGTCTGTGCTAGACTATGGTTTCCTGACGAGCTGCTCCCTCATGGATGCCACGAACGTGCACGTCAAGGCCATCACTCATGAGAGTTTGAGTGACGACAAGCCGAACTGCGTCGACGTGCAGGTCTTCTGTAAACCGCTGCTGCTGCGCCTCAGTCAGTCCATGCTCCTCACGCTCTCGCTCGCGCAACAGCTTTGGACCAGGAATTTTACAGCCACCCAAGATGTCCAGAAAGGTAGTTTTGTTCTTTCAAAAATAACTTAGTACTCCTATCTACCCAATAAAAATCTAATTTGTGACGTTATCACCAATTCCGTTATTATGCTGAGCGAACCATTTTTCTAACTAAGCTTTGAATAACTGAGCTTTTTTATCTTTCTATTCCAAATACTGTTTGTATTTTAGGTCCTGTGACCGAGCAGCACCGCCTCTCTCGCCGCCCTTTGTTCTGCCGCTACATTCTGCGTAACGCCACCCATCAGGGCCTCGTCCTGCGACAGGCAGACACTCAGGAAGGCCTCGCGCTGCAGGCTGGCAAAGCCCTCACCTACAGCTGGAGGAGTCACCTCAAGCCCCTCCTCTTGAGGGTGTGTCGGGACGGTGGCCGGTACAAGTGGTCCAAGCCTTTCTCTATCGATAAAGAAGGATCGTTCGTGAGTGTTGTGTCGTCTTAGATTAATGCTAGCCAAATAACCGTGCATTTTCATTCCTTGCATATTTTTTCTCTGGTTTGTTTAAAAGATTTTTTTCACAAAAAAACTCAGTCGAATTACTTTACTCAGTCAGCTGAATGACGAAATACTTAATGTTGGCACAAAACTATCTGTAATGTCTCTCAAATTTGTTCGGTGTACAGGTGACTTGCAACAACAGCGCCTTGTCGTCGGCTGCCTCTTCGAGCAGCGCACAGAACGTGCAGGTCGTGGTGACCGTCAGTAAGCCGAGGGATGAACATTACCTCCTCGTGACGTTCTCCAGTCTCCTCACCATTGCCAACTGCACTCGTGATCCGCTTGACGTGAAGTTCGTCACCGCCGAGCCAACCTTCAACAGATCACAAGAAAACTGCTACACTGTCAAGTGAGTCCTTCTGTCATCTATGTGACGTTGAATGAGGTCATAATAATCCTAGAGTGTCCTAAGCTACGTAGATTAAACATTTATTGATGAACGATTTATATAAATTTTTTACTTCCAAATATCGATTAGTTGTGAGTTCATCCAGTAATCATTCAAATGGTCTCCAAAAGACAATATCTCCTACCAAGAACAATCGACACCAGGAGTTCGTGAGAAAAATCGCGAATATATCATTAATTAATGACTATAATGGCCATCAAACTCATGAGATTTTGTTGGACAGGCCGCACTCAAACATGGAGTCGGCGGCCACAGAAGTGCAGAGCGTGCGTTTCCGTGTGGGCGGCGGCCAGTCCGTGTCACTGCCATCACCAGGCTCCCCGTCATGGTCTGACGCCGTGCCCGTGCGGTCTGAAGGCGTCGTCGCCTTCAGAGACAACGTCTTGATCAAGCTGCCCTCCAGGATAAAGGCGAGTATCACACCGTATTACTTACGCCTCCCTCTCGTCGTATTGAAGCAAATCCCTACTCCTGGTATTGTTGAACTTACCAGATTTTGCAGCACTTTTTAACCAAGATTCTTACAGGACCCATAGGACAATAGCTGAGTTCTTAATACTTGTCATTGAAATTTGCTACGCCGTACTTGAAAAAAGACACTACGGGATATTGTTATCGATTTAATTCGTAGGCTTTTCTATCTTTATTACACCTGAGACGTTTATTAAAAAGTTCATTACACCTGAGACTTGTAATAAACTTTCGCCTATCAATGTCCTCCATAACTTTATATTGAATTGATGAGCCTTTGGTTTTTTAGGGCGAAAGTTCACTGGTATTCTGCCGCGTGCTGCGCCAGCGCGTAGGGAGCGTATGGCGGTCCCTGCTGGTGGTGAGTCCCCAGTTTGTGGTGCGCTCCCACTTGCCACGCTCCCTCATACTGCACGTCGCTACTCCCGCCACCCGCCAGTCCCAACAGGTAATGAATGATCTTTCATCCTATCGCAATGCAGTGTTTGCTATATGAATAAATTACCGTCATCAAAATGTCTAAACTTCATTTGCGTCTTTCAGGGGTACTGAACTTTATCAAGAGTAGCGCGGGCAAGAAAGCAAGTGAATTAAAAATCGTTAAATATTTCAACCATTCCATGTTCCCACCTAATATCACTTTTTGAAGCTCGTTGAAAATTTCGAAATTATTCTCATTGTCATCATTTTATAGCCAGTAATAAATTTTAAAATAAAAATTACTTTAAACTTTCATGAGGTGGTATATTATTTCTCGAAAGGCCAATAAATGTGTTAATGAGCTCCACTGTCAGTCTGGAGTTTCATTTTTCCGGTCTGAGTTTTGTTGTAATTCAAAACATTTGGTTTGGTGTGTTGATTATTAACGTGTTCAACGTATGCTTCACTAACGAGACTGGATCCAACTGTAATTTTTATCTCAATTCAGCTGACCGTGCCTGGCTGTGGAGAGTGGCAGTGCCTCAGAGGCTGCGAGGCTTCCGTCTCTCATCATCTCACATTTCAGCTCAGGCCTGAACTGCCTCTATCCAGCCCTCCAATTCCGCTCCATAAGACCATGACTGAACAGGTCAGTTGGTCATCAGCCCTCCCATTCCTCTCAATAAATTTGGGACTAAAAGCCATAATTGATTTTAAATTATTAAACTCTCTTTTTTATTCGAAACAAGGCACGATATAATTATTATGAGGCAGCATTGATTACGGGCTTGTAATTGAATTACGTGATCACTAGACACGTGGCTTCAATTGTTTTATATATCTTTAAAAAATGTTACTGGTGTTTGGATTGTGGTTAAAGTTAAACTGGTCTAAAGATAAATTACCCTTTTTTAGTACTAAGATGTAGTGACTGGGATTATCGTCAGTAATCAGAGGGTTGAAGGGTAACGAATTAGAATGACTCAACTGATGAAACTGATGTAAGAAGGCCTGGTAAATGGAGAACCATTAGTAAAAATTATAACGGATGTAAACTGATGAGGCATATAAAAATTCAATCGTTCAAATAGGATATATACATATACATGTTTTGAATTTCCATTGGCTGTAGTTATTGATTCACGCGGCTGTCATGTTTTACGTTGACACCTTGAATTACTATTAATTCTTTTTGCTTACATTTGAGATTTCAGTTTGGGATCTCATCAATTAATTAAGTATCTGAGTTATTTTGAGTCCAGTAGCTGAAGCACAAGAAGGCTATCATGATATTCGCTTGGCTTACTTCAATTCCTGTGCAGATGCGCTTGCAGGTGGCCGGCGACGCGGTGGACTTGACTGAAATAATTGAAGAGCTTCACGACAGCCCCGCCCGACGCTGGCCCTACATTGGGGAGTCTGTGGGGCAGCGCGGAGCTCTGCACTGTACTTACCAGCCTAAGATTGACTTGCAGGTTTGTGTGCTGAGTTCATAGATCAAGTTTGATCTATGAGTTATCACTGTATTGAATCTTATGTTTCAATTCAATCTTATGTTTATTGAAATCGCCGTTGGTTGCTAGGGTGGTTAAAAGGAAATAAAAATTTTCGTAATTATACATGAAATTTGATGAATGTGACGTGTGCACTCCTCCTGGATCGCATGGTGCCAGGTTGTTCAAACATTCCTATTTATCCTTTTCTGGAGTTCCTTGGGTTCACGTAATGCTTAAAAGCACGCTAGAATTACATCAATAAGGTACACATGAGTCTTATTAATTGTAAAGAAGATTAAATCCGTTAGCGCTACAGCCGCTACTTGGTACAAATTTGTATAGTTCACGTACAAAGTACAAGACTATAGATACATTAATGCTGCAGAGTTATACAGAGATACGTTCATGGTTCTGGAGAAAACATAAACACGCAAGTTTGCACAAACAACTGATGATTGAATGATGTGAAATTCAACTCGTCGGATCTCCTATTTAAACACACAAGTGGTTAATTTTACGCAGACCGCGTAAGAAAATATTGCTTGTCGATAGCTTGCTGGCCATGTGCTGATAACCGCTATCAAAACTGACGATGAATTTTATTTCAAGATTGCTGCTGTGGACTCCTCGTATCGGTGCTAAAATGTTCTCTCAAACCACTCTCAAAAAGCTTTTTTTATGAATGCTTCAAAAAGTATGCATACATTAGTAAAAACTCTAAATTTGTTAAATGTACGAGAGCGTATGATTTCGCGTAGTTTTAGAGCGTATAAAACTGTGACCATATTTTTCCACCTGAGTTAATTGGGTTCAAATATTTCATGTCTTCCTGCCTTCAGTAGTGAAAAAATTACTCACTATCATCTCGTGAAAGAAGAGCCTATCCCTTCCTGTGAAGGATGTCTGGATTCATAGATCTTTCTTGCGAATGTCCTTTGAATGATTTTCAACAATTCGCTCACCACCTCGTTTTAGTCAGCTTCTACTCACCCTTTTTTGGAATATCTGAAAGTTTGTCAGTGTGTATGAAAAACAAATTTTTGAGATCCAAGTACCAATTTGAAGATTGCTTGATAAGAATCAAAACTCGACAGCAGTCGTGATGTACTTGAATCTGAAGCGCTTGTGAAAAGGGTTTCTAAACTTTTATTTTTGAATTCCTATCAGTTTCCAATTCTAAATTATATGGTGATTAAATTTTCTCCGTTACAATAACTCGTCCACGTGTCCAACAGATCGGTTTCACGAGCCTCCACCCTCAGCTTGGCACCATCGTTGTAGACGTCCGTCCATGGGCTCTCGTAGTGAACCAAACATCGTCGGACGTGTTCCTGCAGGACGGAGACGCACCGAGTCCTCCTGTCAGTGTATCCAAAGAGACTCCAGCTGCTGCCGTCGAGGATGCATTGCCTGAAAATTCTACACCTGTAAATTCATGGACAATTCCCAACAATAGCGTTTTTGCACCGCCGAAGTTGGAAGGGACTTTCAGATTTGGCGTGATGGAGGATGGCTCGCCATTCACATCAAATTTGCTGCAAATTGCTAAAGAGGACCGATGGTACAGCCTGAAATTCGAAGGATGTTTGCCGCGTAGTGGGTCGTCGTGCATCACAATCCATACGTCTCGCAGCAGTTTCTTCATTACACTCCAAACCTTTTTTGAGGAAAATATTCAGATTATACGCCTCTTGCCCACGTATACAATTGCAAACAACACTTGTGACGTAATGACGCTGCGTCCCATGAGCATCGTTATGCCGAGCTCAAAAATACGGTCCCAAGTCAACGTCGAGGCTGGGAAGTCGCATGATCTCGGGAAATACAAGTCTGGCTTTTGTGTTACCGAAGTACCTCTCTTGTCATGGTCTTTGCATGATCCTGACCCTCCTAAAAAAAGGTCGATCTTCAGTAAAGCCATTGCAGGCGGAGTTGTCGAGGCCGAGATCGTACCTTACTTACAAATATGCAGTCCCATGGGTTCTTGTGAACCTCTTTGTATAGCAGAACCTTCATCGAATGACGTGAGAGATCAAAGATTAAGTTTCTCTCTACCAGCTTCGCTTAGATTGAAAGACAACGAAAAAACTAGCTTGACAAATAACTTGTCTGTTGCTAGTCGTCTCAATACGTGCAATATTCCATATCTGCTTACCGTGCATCAGCAAGATGGGCGAGTGAAGCTTGTCGTGCAGGAAGACTTCAAGCCGCAGCTCCTCGTCTACAATAACACCATGACGCCACTCATAATTGGTGAGCCATCAAACGTCAAAAAATTCATATTTATATTGCAAATACATCTATGCTCGCCTAGTCGGCTTGGGTAACTAGTTACACTTTAAATGTTCGATACTTCTTAGTCATTTTTAACGTAGTTGATTTTATTATCTTGCCCTATAACTAGCTTGGTGTCTCGTGTTTCAAAGGTGAAGGTTCGATTACCAGCCCTGGCGTAGTTGAAGCCCCGCATCCTCCGTCTCTTGGTTTCCCTGAATCGTTTGGACGAAACGTTGGCAGTGGCGAATGCCTCGCCTTCACCTTCCGTAATCGAAACAAAACTTTCTCTACGATGGATCAGAGCTCGGTGCAGCCACGACTGCATTTCGCTCACACGGACACCTGTGAGATACTTTTCTATTTTTTAAATAACCGTTTCTGTTTGATGATTGATTATAGGCATTATGCTGAAATTTTACTTCATCAATAGAAAAATGCTGCAAAATTGCATCTCTCCAATTTGGCAAACAACATTGCAGAATCATATCATCTATTGCTTGCTCGCTGAGTAAGCCATTCGTACTTCAAACTATTGGCTTTAAACTGTGCCGTTAATTGAGAAATTTTAGATAGATATAATAGTTAAAGGCTTTTACGAGGTAATAGAATTTTCAAGAATTAGTGTGCAGCATTTAAGTTCGGTTTTTTACAGGTATGGCTGGTGCCTTCGTGTGGAGTCACGGTGTGGACACGTACCAAAAGTATGACCAGTTCGAGAACATTCCCAGCATTGGGGACGTGAAGGTTCACACTGAGCGCCTGGGCCCCGTCATACACATGTTCGTGGACACCGCCAGCAGAGTCGAAGTTTCCGCACGGGACATCAGAAGCAGGATTGCAACCCAAACTTCTGCTAACGCAAAACCAAGTGTTGATGACGCTCAAAATGAAGCTAGCAGTAACTTCCCTTCCTTCATTGACGAAACTGCTGTAGCTTCCAAAATCGCAGCTGTGATACCAAACGCAGGCGAAACTCCACGAACAGAAATTTTCAGTACTCAAAAACATGCCAGCATGGCGGAGAGAACCACCGTATTTTATTGCACATTTTTTTGTTCTGAAGTTTCTTTCGTGTTGCAAGATGACTTCAAACTGAGCCAAGAATCTCGAGAAGTGGTTCGAGTGACAGCCGATAACGTCGTTCTGAGCGTCAGACCAAAACTCGACATGTCCGAAAGACTTCGAGCTCTTTATTACCGAGTGCGAGAGCAGCTAGAACTTCGCTTCTTCGTTGGCAACTTGCAGATCGATAATCAACTTCATTCACAAGGGGATTACGACTTCCCTGTCGTGATGTTGTTTCAGGATCGATCGCCGCTAACAAATTTCTCTCCATTGACCCCAATCGAAAGAATAGCTCAGATAGCTCACAACGAAGCAAGATTCATGCTCATGGTTTTCGTGGAAAAATCTTCCTGCCATGGGCTATCTTTCAATTCTGTTGTAATGAACATAAAACCTGTCAAACTTTACGCCGAGGATGTTTATTTTTATTCGCTACTCGAAATCTTGCAGTCATTTTCGAATTCTTGCAATGTCGCTCGTGATTCCCCTAGAGTTTCGATTCGTGCTGATGATCCTTTTGCAGAGCCCGTTACAGACGAGATAATGTCTCGCTCGCTTTCACTCTCCACTCCTCTCAATATTTTGAACCTGGAAATACAAAGCATTCAAGTTCAACTGAGCGTGCATGCTTCGGTAAAGTTGTACATCGCTCTGGACCAAACGCCTCTAGAATTCAGCCCATACCAACGCTCAGGGGTTGTCACGACGAGCTACATCCTCGGACACAATATGGCTAAACACTACTTGTCAGGAGCGCTCGTCAGAGCCGGTTGGGTTGTTGGTTCTCTTGAGATCCTCGGTAATCCTGGAGGATTTGCAAGGACAGTGGGCTCTGGCGTTAAGGATTTCGTGCAGCTGCCGTATGAAGGGATCATGCACGGCCCCTGGGCCTTCATCACTGGCGTCACGCATGGCTCACTATCTTTGGTCAAGCATTTCACGGCTGGTGAGTTCAAGATAATAGAATCGTTTTGTATGGGAATGAATTCATATTGATAAATGCTATTTTTTGCTAGCCCTCATATTAATATCTTAAAAGTTCTGTTTTCATGGTGTTAACGGCCGTCGAGGCCCAAGACGCGCAGTTGTTATGCTGCAATTTTTTTCGCAGGAACGGTTGTGTCCTTGACAAACCTGGCAGGGAGCGTGGCCCGAAATATGGACAGGCTGAGTCTGGACAAAGACCATCAGTCCCGCACCGAACACGACAGACGAGCACCTCGCCCTCAGGGCCTCCTGAACGGACTTGCGTTTGGACTCACCACTTTCGGAATATCACTTCTTGGTTAGTTACCGCTCGTATATGTTATTAGAGTTGTTATATCTCCAACTTCGCTTGCCTATATCATTCCTGATAACCGAATTCTCCCATTTTTAAGAAAATCACTGATAACGAATATTAAAATTGATAATTTTACGTGTCCATTTAAGAAACAATTACTTTCAATAAAGCGAAAGTTTCTACTGGTTTGCTTGCAAACTAGATCCTGACATCACTAATTGTTTTATTCATTACAGGTGGTATAGGAGGGCTGGCGCAGCAGCCGCTCGAAGCTGTGATGCAGGAGCAGTTCACAGCCTCAGGACTCGTGGGGGGCGTGGGCAGGGGCGTGCTGGGCGCCGTCACGAAGCCCATCGGTGGGGCGGCCGACCTATTCCTGCACACTGGGCAAGGGCTCCTCAAAGTAAGATGAATAGAACGAATCAAGATTGCCGTACAACGATATCATCTGCCTAGTGTACTTCAGTCTAAGTGCCATTGTCTGCACCAGATCATTACACAAAACATCTAAAGATGTTACGGTATTATCTTTCTGATTGTGGATAAATTCTCTTCATCACAATTAAGAGAAGAAGGCAATACCTGCTACTCAAACAGTCATTTCCATCAAAAAGCTAAATGCATCTTCATTCGTTAGTATCCTTCTTCCTATTTTATATGCATACAATTACTGAACAGAGAATGCATTACAATTTTCAAGGAGTCGAACAATTCTCCAGATGACGTTGGTAGATCAAAAGGCAGGTTTAGAAATTCCCGGAACCTGTTTAATTTATCTATCCTGGGCTCGGTGAAACCCATGATAACGTCAAACTCCGGACTGTGGTCATTGATACATGTAGCAATGACCACTGCAGAAAAGAAGTCCTCCAAGTGGCCGATGAGATAAATTAGGTATAAATTTTGCTTCGACGAAGGTTGTAGACTTCTTCATTTGTGCTACATTGGAGTAATTATACTAACAACCATAACATCTCACTTGCCATCTGATTCTGGAGGACAGTGGAACCCCCTGAGACAAACTCACAAGACCATTGCTCGCACCGTGCTGGAGAGACCCACCAGGATCATCAATTCATCATCATGCAGAGGTGTCCAACATTAACCAACCAATGATTGCTGGAACCCTCTTCATTTTGGATTGGACCCTGGCCATCTATTTCCAAACTACCGGACTTGTCTAAACTTTGAGATTGTTTGCGGAGAGACTTTCTGGCTCGTAATTTTTGTGTTGTATCCTATTTACGTGTATTATGCACTTATGTCCAACATAATTTAATTATTGAATGCTTCTCTTAACTTGAAAATGAATGTTGTTACATTCGAAACGTCGTTAATATATTATTATTACGTGCTAAAGCTGCCTTTTGATCTACCAACGTCAACTGCAAAATTGTTCGACTCCTTGCAAATTCTAATGTATTCTCTGGTCATTAATTATACGCATATAAACCACAAAATTCTGGCATCTATTACTAATTTCTTCCTATTTGTGGATAAATTCGTGAACTTATTTACAGTTGCGTTGTATTTTAAATCCGGGCATTTAATACCCATTGTAAAAAAACTTCCTATTCTGGTTTTCATGATAATATTCCTACCTAAAATTATAAACAAGCTTTCTCCTGCACGTTGCACGTGTCACCATATACCCTTCATATTTACCCCTACAAAATTATTCGTAATATAGATGTCAATACCTACCATGCTGTTCACTCAGGGCGCGGGCTGGCAGTTGGAGCATCAGCCGCGCAGTGCGCCCAGGCCTTGCCTGCGCAGCGACGCCTGCAATTCACGCGTCAAGTTCTTCTGCAAACTCGTGCCCTCCCACCCGCAGCAGTCGCGTCTCGTGCTCGCCTTGGTTGATGCCACCATCTGCGGGGCCAGCCTTGCCAACCAAGTGGCAGTCACCGTTGTTCTCACGCCTAAGGTAAAAACCACGTTATGGTTAACGCCTAAGGTAAGGGGCACATTAGAGCTAACGCCTAAGGTAAGGGCCGTTCGGGTTCACGCCTAAGGTAAGGGCCACGTTATGGCTAACGCCTAAGGTAAGGGCCGTTCAGGCTCACGTCTAAGGTAAGGGCCGTTCAGGCTCACGCCTAAGGTAAGGGCCGTTCCGGTTCACGCCTACGTTAAGGACTACATTTGTGATCACGCCTAAGTCTGTTGTGCTCACACTAACGGTTAAGAGCCAAATTTATCGTTAGTGATAGTGCATCTTTTTGTTAATAAAGCTTTTCCTGTTCATCACATCATATGCCGCCGTTGCATCACATCATATGCATATACCGCTTGTTACACGTCTCATCTTTTGTTCAGATTTTGTTCATCTTGTGTGCTGGCGGAGACTCCCAGCTCCTCACGTTCCCCTTGTTAGAGACGCGTGTCTACACTCCGGCCGACCCCATGCTCATCACGCTGCGCAAGCTGCCCTCGGGACTGCCTCAACAAATTGTCGATGTGAGTAGGGCACACATCTACTAAATGTCAGTAGGACTTAAGCTTTACTTTTTTGTCATAATCAAACTTTATTCTTTCCATAGTATAGGTACTTTTTGTTCATATTCCAAGGCTATCATTCACTTACACAATGACTAAAGGGAATATGAGTATGGCTTTAAAGTTATCGAATTCGTATAGAGAAAAAGTGATAGTAGCGAAGTGTTAATGATAGTGTTGCCTACGTTCTCAGCTACAGCAATGTATGAAGCGCGTGCAAGAGTACGTGGAAGGCAACGCCACGCACGAGTCGGCGGCTCAGCACGACGGGCTGCCGGAAAGCTCACTGCAATTTCTTACTCTCCCCGCGGCCGCTTGCATGTCGGACCGTGGCGGTGCAGCTGTCGCGTCCTGCCACGGCGACGCATCAACCAGCACTGACCCTGCCGTCCAAGCAACTAGTGATGAAGCTTTAAGCAAGTGCGACCCTGTAACCAAAGCCAAAGTTGACTGTGATAATGAACCTAGAATCATTCCCGGTGATGGCGATGAACCGCAGACGGAGGCAGAGGGCTGCTACATGGTTGGAGTTGACGGTGAGAGCATTACGTCTCCTGGGGAGCTCGGTAGAAGTCTGTGCGTGTCTCCAGCGCTTAGGGATAGTTTGGTTGCAGCTATCAAATTAGCTCAAAGAAAACTAAGAAGTGAAGGATTTTAGATCAGTTTATGGCCTTGTCAATTTCGTTCTATCAGCAATAAAGGTATTTAATTGGGCAATTTTTCATAATTTTCTTGATTACTTGATTAACATCACATAGTATACCGTTAACACTTATTTGCTACAAAGAATATTATGTTTACATTGCTAATAATTAAATATTTATTTCAAGTTTTTCAGGCTTCAGTGATGACGTCTCACGCGCAAGAATATGATACATGTTCTTTGATGTACAATTGCCTGTACTTTTCTAACTGCGGGTGAAGGTTGAATAATTATTAGCTCAAATGATTTTATATTATATTATATATATAAGCACAACCATTATATGCACATCTGTGGCATCTATCTCGAATATATCTGTTGTTGTTAGAGGAGTCGGCAATAAGTGAGTAAAGAATACTTGTACATATGAGTATGCAAAACGTGAAAATTTTGTTATAAACAAGTACAATTATAGCAAATTATGGACTTTGTCTGCATATTGCACGTGGGAAAACTATTCAACAGTTGTTATCTATGTAATCTAGAGATGCAATTGTGCGAGCCATTGTGCTTCTACTTATCGACTACGGTGTTATAAGGCACAATGTTTTATACGAGTGCAACGTCGTCTGCTTGCTGACACGTTTTTGCTAGTTAGAACTTCTGTTGAATTAGGTTTTTAATCTTTGTACTGCAGTAAAGATTCAAATCTGATGTCGCATAATATCTTATCCTCTAAATCTGACTAGTAGTTCTTTCTCTGCATTCGAGTTTCGCTGCTCCCAAAATTAAAATGTCCATTGGTGGCACAATGATCACAATACTTCTGCTAATAAATCTTTCTCAGAGTGAATCAATTGTTAACCACAGCAATTAGCAGCACAGCGAGTTCTCTAGCGCCTCATGAAATTAAAACCTCAACCATCTACATAGAAAGATAATGTCCCAAAATTTAAGTGAATATGTACAAATTCTCTGGTTTGTATGACATCATTGAAGCTAAGCCAGGCAATTCAAAGTATAGATACCATATGTAGATAAATAATATATAGATATACAATAAATTAGACAATATCGAGACCATTCTTGGATTTTTCACATTCTAGAATGCTGCCAACAATGACCACACACACACATCATTTCTGGCAGCAATGAGACAGAACTTTGAGATGAGCATCTCATCTTATGTACAATGCCTTGTTCAAAAATTACTTAATTATATTAATAGTTAATAAATAAATACATTACAATCAGAATGGAAGTCGAGTTATAAAAAACTATGCAGCTTGTATAAAATTGTAACAAAGAAGCTATACAAAATAGCAGAATCATTTTTTACATCAGACAGTTGATGCCAAGAAATTTATCCAAACAATTTTAAATGTTAACATATAAAAGTCAAACACGCTGTTTTGGAGAATCATTATATAATAAATTAGTCTATAGTTAGGGTAAAATTAAAAAAATATTTTAGTATCTAAATTAAAGCAACAATAAGAGCTGATTCTATAGAACAGCCTGAGGGGCTGGTTGTCACTTGCTCATGACCTTGCTCTTGTTTGTGTATATAAAGCATTGTGCAATGACGGCCAAGTCTATGACCACTTGTAGGGCACCACAAATGAAAAATTGCAGAGGAGCTGCACGGATGTAGAAGTAGCAGGTCTTGAACAGGTCTCCTGATAGCCACATTAGCACCATCTTGCGGCTGCAGAAGGGATAGAAAAATATTCAAGGTTCTTGCTCATTAAAATACATTTAATTTTTCATAAAAAAAAACTAAAAAACTCCATGAAATAAAGATGCATATCTAATTTTTATGCTTCAAATAAAATTTCACAGCAATATGTGCATTTTCTCATTATCAAGTCAACAAAAATATGTAACTGTCAGGGGCTTTCTGGAAGTATAAATAATAATGGGTGATGATAGTTTAATCTTTTCCGCTCATAAAAATTGAGATTTGTATGTATGGATTGTATTAATTTCAATTACCTCATTCCACTGGTGCTTCTATTCTTTATATTCTTATAAAACTGAGGTAGAGCCAACATCGCTTCTGTCATGAGCGCTAAAAATCCTATGGTTTCCACAAAGAGTGATGAGTCCAAGAACATGTACATGCTCAGGCAGCCTAAAGTTGAAAATGTCAACACAAATTCAACATAAGATTGGACATCACTCCACTCCCAGAAGTATTTGAAGTCAAAATCTGAAAAAAATAAAGAAGTATCTTATGTTAAAAGAAGGCAATACAATGATATGCCACAATATTCATTTACAAATTCATTTGTAATCAGTAGGTATGAAAAAAATCTTTTTCAGTGATCAAATAAAAGTAAGATTCAAGTGTAGTAGTTGAGAGCCATTTCCTTACCTGTAAAAATTCTCTCTTTCTTTGGTAAAACTTGTGATTTATTTCTGCATGTTACACAGCAGTGAATCATGAACAGCATTGCCACATTCATAAAAATGCTCTGCAACAGCAGTGGAATTTCAAACCAATGTCCAAACCTGTCAGGAGAGAAATGAAAGGAATACGTATTTGTACACAGTCACTAGGAAAAACATAGTTTGATGATAAACTTAAGATGCAGACTGATAATACTTCTACATACATTAGATGGTCAGTAGTATATAAACCTGATTACTTCATGTAAGCAGATCCAATATATCTATAATATCCATCAAAAAACCTTCATAAATATAAAAATACTCACCAAAATATTATTCTTAAAGTATTAGCAATGATGAGGACTAAGCAGACATAGAGAGAGAACCCCTCCTGGCATTCAGTTCTCTTGATTTGCATGTACTGAGGGATGAAGGGAACCACTCCACCGAACACCATTACAAGTGCCATTACATGGCGACCAACCTTACACAGAGAAACATGACACATTTGAGTTCATCTGAAATTTATTATCATACAAGTTTCAGTTATTGATAGTTTTTGCGTACTCTTTAAAATTGTCTATTCTGTGCATTGTAAAAATTAAAGTTTAGCAAAAGTTTTAAGAATTTATAGGTAAATTTGGTACTCAAACTAGACAGTTCTATATGTACCAAGATGTGAACATAATCTATTATACAATATTTTGCCTGTATGCCTGATCACATACATTATTTTAAATCTCNTTTGGTAGTACTCAAATAAGACAGTTCTATATGTACCAAGATGTGAACATAATCTATTATACAATATTTTGCCTGTATGCCTGATCACATACATTATTTTAAATCTTAACACGTATTGCTTTATCATGTATCAGAATTTCATTTTTTGTACTGCTATGAAATACACAAATTGCACTTATATTGATTCTTCATTGGTCCTAAGCATTCTACTACCAGAATAATATGTATAATGTGTTAATAAATCCCAATTAGTATGGTAAAATCTATTTTGAAAAAAAAGTGTCTAAATAATTGAGATGGGAATTGTACAAGTCCAGGGTTGCCAGACTGTCTTTTTTTCAGACTATATAAATAATTATTAAATATAAATTTCCTAAATATAATTAAAAAACTGCAAAAAATTGAATTTTTCCCCATAACATATGGAGCACACAACTTTGGAGTCAACGTGTTAAAAAAGTTGACTAGTTAACAGAATATGTCACCAATTTTTTTTTCTCACATTCTCTCAGTAGAATTGTTAAAAACACACCTAAAAGTCATATATATACACAAGAGGAAGCTTTGCCAAACTGCAACATAAATCAACAAACTCTGATTTAATAGAATTTACTGACAAGCTATGAGGTAAATTTTTAGCCAAGGTGAGGGTTTCTGATCTTTTTTGCTAAGCCCAAAAAAAATTTTAAACTTTCACTTCCAGTATCATTCAGACACTGTCATTTTGTACCTGCTAGGCTCATAGCTTCATGTCAGCAATACAGCAATTTCTTACCTCACCTATGGTATCCATATCAGGGCATGATGGGTGAAATTTGCGATCAGGAATTTGTTGATTTATATTAATTATTTATAGCAAAATTGTTTGGTAAATTTTAATTTTCCAATTATTATTAAATTAATCAACTTAAAAAAGTGCAAGAATTTTTTCATACAATTTCAGACATATTTCCTTCCAAAGCCTGGCAATTGACTTCCTCCGAAACCCGCAAGGCATTGAAGATCCGCTGCTGATTCATCTCATTAATATTTTTTAAAACTTGCGATGAATTGAAGTTGCGGTAGGTAAGTGGGATATAGCAAGGCAAGGATAACGTAATCACCTATTTAACAACATTGCTGACTAGTTTACTTATTAATATATATAAATTATACAACTTACATACAAATTGTTCACTTATTCAACAATATTGCTGACAAGTTAGGTATATATTTCTCCACAAAGTTCCTGGCATTCAGGCTTACATCAAATCATTTAAACTGTGCCTGTTTTATGCTATCTTGACACTGAATCCAGGTGGTGACTACGAATTATGAATGCTGTGAAATGTGAATAGTTTAGTCAAGTATGATTTTCCTATGAATTGATACATATCATCCTAACTGAGGTCTTAGTTCTTAACCCCTCTGTGAGAATTCTTAAATTCTTTATTCTGACTTAGTGAAAGCCAACTAAGGACCATAGCAGACAGTGGTTGGTCCTTCATCATTTAATGGTAACAATGATTTAAGCTCTCAACATTTTTGATGCTAGACTGCCAGCCTCTCAGGATAATTTTAGATGGCATCTTCTTTTATTGTATTATGACCATGTCAATTTAAATCAATTGTTAACTGATTAGTAAATAAATTTGAGACAGTTTTCTTTTGAACCAGCAAATGTGGTGACCATAGAAATTTGATATACAGGGGTTGGGCAAATCAGGGAAATGTTTGACATTTTGATATTGTCATTTTTGAAAATGTTATAAACAATAAAAACATGACAGTTTTATGTTTTAATGTTTAGTGTTGCTGCTAATTGACATTTCATCTTTGCACAGATATTTTTAGTAAATTTTTGTGTCCTATGGCAAACCTCTCTGACTTTCAATCAAAGAGGCCAAATTGTTGGTGTCTGTATGGCAAGTGCTAATGTGACAGAAACTTCCCAATGCTTGACGTTTCTAAAGGTACCATCTAACAGGGTTATAAGGGACAGTTTTGAGCATTCTTGTTAATAACTTCTTACCATGAAACATTTCATAAACGAGTTTGGGCTCATTTTAAAGGTCTTTGTGAGGGCTATTGTATGACATCTCCAAAAAAAATTCTATTTGTACGGTGCCAGATCAGATGCAAACTAAAAGCCTCCCAAATTACCCCTGGGAATGGGGCAATAAGGGACACTTGAAATAAAACTTAATTTTAAAATGTTTGAAGCATTCAGAGTGTACTTCTCTATTGCTAACAGTACTCTGAAGTCCTCCTCTTCCTTTTGTGGATGATGTAGATGTAGAATAAATGATATTTTCTGTGATTTTTGTCTTGCGTTTCCTTTATTGATATATTACCTCATCCATACATTACTGAATTATTGATGTGATATTACCATATCCATGGACATGCCATTGAGCATTGACAATGACCTTGTCCACTGCAAGCTTCATATCAGCAGCTGTGTAGCCATTCTTCTGTATCTGTAAGCTTACAGGACTGGGCTTGTTATTTTGCACTATTTTAATGGGTTCAAGTGAATTCACTACAACAAAAAATGATTGTAAAACACGTACCTAAAACAGAAAGGAATATTTTAGTGACAGCCATCATATTTTTTGGAGAAATGAATCATAGTTTCGGTTAATTACTTTTTATTCTGTGTTGCCTGGTGCACAATTCTATCTAGGGCATTCTTTGCACAATTTTGAGATTACCAATGATGCATTAATTTTCCATTAAGTGAAATTTTTTTGCTGAGCAAGGTAAATGTAACCAATTTTTTTTTATTAATCGATTTTTTGCTAAGAGCCTTTGCTAACCAAGGTTCTACTGTAAATGAGTTTTATGGGGTGTCCCATATTACCCTGCAGGGTGTCCTTTACTGTCGCACCGTGCAGAAATGGCCGCCATTTTTTGGAATGAGCTGTGCAAATTCCGTCATTCACGATAGCCAACACCAGAATGCAACTTTTATTTTAGTAAAAAATTTTCAAACAGCAAATATTTTTATGGTTACAGACCTTAGCAGAGGTACTTTTCCAAAATCTAACTTTTCACACTTTTTTAGGGATTTTTTTGAGGTAGTAATTGTTTGATTTCATAACTTGCTTTATGCTATATAGATAGGAAAAATGTTGAACTTTACACCACTATTTTTAGTTTTGCAATATTTCATTGAGTTTAGCTGCTACATTTCTACAAAATGTCGGAGGACTGTCCTGATTTAACAAGCCCGTCCCTTATTAACCCATTTGATGGTCCTGTAAAATTAAATCGCAAAGGATTCAAATATCTATCAACTTCAGATTGTGACATTATAAGCTAATATTATTGGGGGAAAGCATCAGGTCCATCAGAATGCCTAAATTGCAAATGTACTGAGAATTTCAAATTTAAGAAATTTATCAAATTTTTAATAAAAATTCTGGATTGAAGTAGTATAAGAAAACAAGTTAAATCAATTAGCACAAATAAATTTAGAGAGTAGATATCAAACCAAATTTGACAAATCAGAGAACAATTAAAGCCAAATAAATTTGAGCTGACAAACCTAATTATTAACAATTTAAAGCACTATATATAAAGGCATTACATCAATTATAGAAGTTATTGTTTAAAAATATGAAAAACATCAGATAAATGGAAGAAAAATGTGAATAGATGGAGACTGATTATGCACTTGCACAAAAATTGTACATCACTTGAAAATAAGGAGAATTTGAGTACAATTTATTTTGCTCAAGGAAAAACCTTTGATTTTTTAAAACAGATCAATTTAGACAGATGTTTGATCTTTTGCTGGTGTAAGACAAAATTTATCACTCATTCTTACTGGGAAATAATTTTTTCCCTATATATGTTAACATTGGGCAGGCACATTCAACTATAATTAAGAAAAAAGTTGGAGATTCTGTCAAAACCATTGGGCATTGCAGGGACTGGTCATTTCATGAGTTAAAGTTGAAATGAAAAAAGTTAACTATAAAATAATATTTTATAATCTGAAATTATTTCAATTGTTCAAGAAAAACTTCAAAGCTCACCTAATTGCTGATGTAATTTTTTTTCCAGCCCTGTAGACCAGTCTCTGGCATATGGTATGACAATAACTCATTGTAATAATGAATAACTAACATTTCTAAGGTCAAGCAATTTAATCCTATACACTGAAAAATGTATTTATTTTTCCAGCAAACTGGTAGGCAACTTGGGTAGTTAAAGGAATACATTTTGCCAATTCATGAAGCTTGCCACAAAATACATCAATAAGTTTAAGTTGATGAGGTAATCTTACCTGCATAAAAACTTCAATGTAATCATTTCCCATTTTAGAAATTACTGGGTTCTCTCCAGGATCCATTTTCTGTTCTGGCAGAAATGCTTCTTAATGCATATCAATAGTTTTGGGTAGATGGTAAAATCAGCTTGTTAAGGCTGGCTCAAAACAAAACTATGTTAAAAAAATCTGTATATAATCATGATAGTCTATTGATGAGATGTTATAGTAGTTACTTTAGAATCAACCTGAAAATTTTTATAAGAAAATTATCACAGAACAGTCCAGCTGCTGATATGGGATACCTGGCAGCCATCAAAGGTCATCATAAAATATAAAAAAAACTGCTTCATTCATAAATGCCAGACAGAAACTTATGTTATTAAAAATGTAGGGATCAAGCCAGCATTATGGGGAAATTGGGTGTGATTACTGTGATAACTTGTATATTAACATATGTACTTTGACAGGAACCTGTTAATTTTGGGGTCTCAGAAATGCAAGAGGAAATTTCCCTGCATAAGGTCCCTTTTGCCTCCCCTCAGAAATGACAGCCCACATATAAAATCTTATCAACTTGGCAGAGAGCTGTGATGTGGAGAAATTTTGACAATGACAGGATGGTAGCCTCCAAGAATATTGAAAGGTGGAGCAGATACAACAAAGGATGAAGGGGCTGGTGAACATTTACAACTTTACAAGATACTGTGAGCATGCAAAGTTCAAATGGAAGTAAAAAGGCAAAAATGCCTCTCTGAGTGGTTGATCTAACTCATTTTGACATCTCCTGACAACATTTTCAACCTCAAGACCCCAAGTAGAAAATTGGGCAGAAGCTACCTGTGAGTTTACAAAAATGTCTGTGAATCTGGCCAATTTTCACTATGACCTTTTCCTAATTTCTTCAGTGAAAAATGAGAAAAACTGCCTAGGGAAAACGCGGTATATTCCAACACTTTAAGGTCATAGCAAAAAATGAATGGCTATAAAAAATACACAGTACGCTCAACTCGAGTTGTTTGCTTTACGTCACTCTCAAAACACCGCACTACGCGCCAGCAACAATGAAATATCACAAAATGTTGCCATATTTATTTAAAAGCCTTTAGAATGCAAACCCACCAAATCCATATATTTCGACACTGTGTGTGACTAAATTTGGCATTTTGTGAGACTAATTCTGGCCGCGCTTCTAACTCTACTAATTTGTAATACCGACACTCTTGTGTTCAAATTCTAATCGCTGCGTGAGCTATAATTGGAATACGACACAGCTTGGAATTAGAACACTATTGAATATTGAACACTACTTAATTAGGCTTTTAATTAAGAGCTATTAGGCATTTTTTTTCTAAATAGTTGGCTGAAGACTGAGAAATATATTAAATGCAAGAATTTTAATCTAAATGTGTCGGCAAGATCTTGTGAAGGCGAAAATTTTGCCGATAATGCGTCGCCGTAGGTCTTTAAATCTTCGTTCACTCTCTGCACAGTGGACTATCAACAATTGGCAATGATTGGCATTGGCTATGTGGCCATAATGTGGGTTGGCCTGTGAATGCTTTGGAGTTTGGTTGTTTCCGAGAGGTTTTCTGAAGCAGTCGCAGAAGAGCTGGCATCCCCGTCTGAATAAGACATAGACCAACTGCCCCCCTTACCTTACGCTGATGCACCGGCACCCTTTACTCTTTAGATATGGAGCTTCTAGCCTCAAGCTTTTGCTCCACACACCTTTCTATAATTAAAATATTAACTATATTTATTTGTGATTTGCACGGCCGAGCACAGAGCACAGTCACTTACATCCGTCTTCAACCGTGGCACGGTGGCTGTAACCGGAATCCCGGCCCGCCTTTCATGTTTCATTGGCCACAAGGTAGCCTGCCGAAGACCACCACTGCCATGGATGCAATGGGCCATCATGATTCCTTAATTTCCTGCCTTTGGAACGTTACGATAACGAACGTAGCTTTCAGGGATTCAGGCTTCAACACTTCAAAGTTCAAGCCATGATGCCATCCGTATCTAGGCCGTGGGTCGAACCATCCCTCGGTCGAACGGCCACTTGTCGAAGGACGATAAATTTTGGAACAGAACCATGCTATCTGAAACCTAACCTCAGATGCGGTGAACGTAAAATTACGTAATTTAACGATGCCCGGAAGTCAGATTCAATCCGCGGCCTGGTGGCCAGGTGGTGCACGGCAGGTTCTATGCGAGGCCGGAAGAAGACAAAGCCGAGTGGTTCACGGCTGATTGGTGGGTGTCCGGAGATATCCAAGGCGTTCGAGTCAGGGCTTATTGATGCACAAAATTGGTGCTGCACGGCTGCGCTCCCAGAGACAGGCCCACAGCAGCAACCGGAATCTCCACCAAAATTGATATCCGTTTTCCGTAAACATCAGATTACAATCGGTGTAACCATCATCCGCGAAAATATCTTTACCGGAAGTCTGCACTATGAATAATAATCCTTTATATAAATGATTGAATCATATATCAAGAAAGATCTATGAATGCTTTATGTCAAGCAAGATTCGTCTTTATTAATTTATTTGATTATTCAAAACTATATACAGTGATAAATATATCTTCTTTTACGTTCTTCAATAGCAAAATTGCCAAAAAAAAAACAGTAGTTCCCGTAATAATTTTTTGTCTCCAGCTCTAGGTGCCTGTACACGGGGACAGTACAGGCCGACAGTTCATCCCATGTTTCACGCTACTGGCCTCGTGTATAGGGCCGCTCAGTGGCCCTCAGCCGCTTCAGTGGCATGTGCCCGAAACGCGGGCGAGAGGGACAACGATGTGTTGTTTTCTTCGCAGGAGACTTGTTCGTCTGTAAGGTCACTGATTTCAGTGAAGTCACGGGCATTGGCTAATCATCGAAATGCGATCAAACCAGTCAACCAATCCATCGTGGGAATGGCCGGATTGTTTACGTTTTTCGATCTCAGTGACGTAACAAGAAAGCTGAACTGAAAGACGGATGTCCTCGTGGGTCAACCTTGTAAAGTTCAACCATGGTTTACAATATGTCGGCACATAATTGGTTAATTTTATTGCTCGAAATTATAATTAGATAGCGTGATTCACTATTCGAATGAAGTTATTTTCGAACAAACAAACAATTTTCTACGAAGCAAAATTATCATAGTTACATTGTTGGAAATAGACCGGTGCAGAGCATGGTTGAACTAATAATACAAGGTTGACCCATGCGCATCTCAGACTTGCGGGTGTCGTGTATTCTTCCGCCTGTGACGTCACACTTACCTCAAAATGTAAATATTGCTCGTGAACTATATTCAAAGAGTGGCTTCTTTTAATTAACTTTATTAAAAATTTACCTCCTCGAATTCTCTGAAGTGTTCATGTTGTCAACTAGTCTTGCTTAAAACATTGCCCGAATCAAAATGCTCTTATTTAAAGTGGTTAATTGAATCATTGGAAAAGAAAATGATCAACTGAATGGACTGACATTTAATAGTTGTTAATGGCGGCCATTAGGCTGAACGTCATTAGAAGTGAAGCGTCCCTAATATATCACGTTTCTTCATGCTAATATTCATGCATCTCTTTGATTTTCATTTACCGTTTCAATTTTTCAGTCTGATGCAGGTTTACTTCCCAGTTTATAATCGATGTAAAATGGACGCACAGTGAAAGAACTAATCATATTATATCGATTTGAAATTTAAAGGAGATGCATCAAAAGTGTAAATATGAGGAACAAGAGCAATCAAAGAGATGCAAAATCCACTCACCCGACGAAAATGGATTTTGTTTGGGGTGACGTCAAAGGCGAAACAATACACGACATCCGCAAGGCTGAGATGTTCATGGGCAGCCTTGTATATATAGTTCAACCATTTTCTTCGACCGCCTTACCCTTAACGAAATTTCTCAAACTACTTTCTAATGAAAAATCGTTCCATTTACCGTATTGACCTTCCTTAAAAGAATTTGAAGAAATTAACCGCATACTATTTTCGGTCACACACAATTAACTATTGGTGCTGCCCTACACCATTTGGGTAAAGACGGAACTACTGTTACAATTAGTTCATTTTCCGAAAACTTTTTGAATCCAAGTGTATATTATCAACATACCATAGTCAGCTCTTAGCTGCATACCTACAGTTAGCAATAAAATTATTCGTGCACCAATTCCTTTTCAATGTTTTCTAGAATAGCTTGAAAATTAATGAATGTATGAGCCTAAGATTTGATTGAACTAAGCAATATGCAATAAATAATTTTCACATTTTCAGAACAATATGCAATTTTACAACGTTTTAACATGCATAAAGTCCCCAACACCTTCAGACACAATTATTCGTACAGTTGAAAAATACTAGCATTGTTGCATTAATAATATATTATCAATGCCATGTCCTTTCATCTCGAAAACCTCCAAAAGTCTCGATGAGATTTGCAGTGGTATCCGGTTTGATTTTATCCAATTCTTCAATTGCAACTTGTTTCAATTCCTGGCGATTCATGGGAGCACGATTATTTGGTGAAATTAAGGAGCGTCATCGATTAATTCTAGTAAAATGCATATGACGATAGAAATTTTTTCATTTGCTTATTTGAGATTAAGGAAATAAGAGAAGAAGACGAAATCTACTAAGGAAGATGCAAGTTAACGCGTTGACTTTCACCTTCCTTAGCAGATTACATCTTCTTCTCTTATTTCCTTAATCTCAAATAAGCAAATGAAAAAATTTCTATCGTTATATGCATTTTACTAGAATTAAGCGATGACGCTCCTACATTTCTCACCTAATTAACGTTATTTAACGGATTAACGCCCGATCGAAATATAATTAAAAAAAACGACAAATAACAATAATTGTGCTACAGGTAAAATACTAATACTTTTAAAAATACTTTTTTACTAATAAGGACTGTCGAACTTATAAGTTCGACAGACCCGGAAATCAGATTTTGTACTTAAATGTCAGGAGCAAACTCCGTAGACTTTACCATTCTTACTTTACCATTCGTATCAGGGAGGGTCTGCCAGCAGGGCTTTACTTCATATATTATCAGGGAAAATTCATTTAAATTAACATATAGATTTTCAAGATTCCCAAATTGAAGCAAGTATGTTAATTTATAATCTTGAAATGAGGATTTTCAGTAAAAAATGATCCGTTCGAGCTAACCTAAACATACGTACTTCCACTTCTGGTGTTTTAAGGAACTTGGAATTGTTGCATACGGAAACCTTGTCTAGATAGCGCATATATTTCTTATCCTAATGCAATTTTAAATCTTTATGTTATTATGTTCCGTTTGTTGTGTTCTCGTTACTTAGGTTTTAGTTCTTTTGTGTGTATTTTGATATTCACTGCTGATTTTACCTGTATAGGCTGTATTCTATAAATGTTTAAAACTGATGATGGAACTGGCTTCGGTAACGTTCTCAATGAGGAAATGTTAATTTACTGGTTGTTTTCTTTCCTGTTAATTTCTTTGTCCTGAGGCATGAAAGTTCATGATCTTTATTGGGGTTAATGACAACGCGTTTTCGTACTAGTGGGATGCGACAGTTGCGCGTTAAATGTGTTAACATTAAAATTATCATCGAAGAATGCTGGCAATGTTTATCAGCACTGCAAGGATAAAAAAATTCAGTAAATGATTACACTTTTTCTTTATATACGGTGTATTTCATATAAAAAGCAAAATCAATAATAAGGAATAAAACTATATCTATGTTGGAAAATTGAGCAGCGTACAAAATTGGCAGGTTGCCATCATCGTCTACACAATTGACTCGACAGTCTCTCTTAGTTAGGAGCCTTACAATGGACAACTCTCCTCCTCTACAAGCATACGCTAAGACGCTTCTTCCATGTGAGTCTACAGAGAAAGGGTTAGCACCAGCTTGTAGCAGCACCCGGCACAACTCGAGGTCACGGCACAGCGCTGCGAGCATCAAGGGCGTCACGCCATCACATGTGGCCACGTCACACAACCCTCCTTCAGCAATAAGTGTTGTCACTAATTCTATAGTCACTTCCGAGCTCGGAGCCAAATAATTTTGAATTTCGTGCAGAAGGGAAGGAGTATTAACCATAGGGAAAATGTCCATAGTTTGGAAAAAATCAAAAGGAACAATGATCTCATGGAACAGAGTAACATTCGCAGAGCTTTTTGCTGACGCTCTGGACCCTTTTGCTAAGAGAAGTTCAATGCTAGTCCATGAACGAGCTCTAACAGCGACCTGAAGAGGTACGTTCCCAAGAACATCCACTGACTCGATATTTGCTCCGTGAATAATGAGCAATCGAAGAAACTGAGGTAAGTTAGCAACAGCGTAGTGGTGAAGAGCTGTAAATCCGTTAATATCCTTGGCATTCACGTCGCTGTCATGTTGCAGGAGAGTGTCTAAAATCGAGTATGTGTTGACTACCATAAGAGGAGTTCGCTTCAAGTTGCAACAGGCATTAACATCAGCTCCAGCATCTACAAGAATCTTCACAGACTCGAGACAGTTCGAATACACAGATTTAAAGAGCGCTGTTTCTCCACGACAGTCCCTAGATTCTAGTTGAGCGCCGGCACCTGTGAGTGCTCTCACGGCTTCAGCCTCTCTGATCAGCGAGGCGGCCATCAAAGGAGTGTATCCTCTGTCATTAGCAACAGAAGGATCAGCTCCGTACTCCAACAGAGTCTTAATGGCAGTCAAGCATTTAGGTGAACCGATGCCATTACTTCTACCAGCTGCCCACATGATGGCACTGTTCCCATCGTTGGATCTCACGTTCGGTTTGGCTCCTCTCTTAAGCAATAGCTTCAAGCATGGTACTTGTTTGTAATGCACTGCGGTTATGAGAGCAGTTTCACCACTTGGACCTTTTGCCTCGATGTCAGCTCCCTTGTCAAGTATGAGCGACACGAGATCGGGCTCGCCAGCGGCTACAAGTAGGGATAAAGCTGGTGTCCCCTTTGGGTTTCGTTTGTTAGGACAAGCCCCGTGCTCCAGTAGCAGCCTAGCTGTGTCCTGCCATCTGCTTGACGTCGATGAACTGATGAGAAGAGTCAATGGTGAGTGCCCGTCGAATAATGTGACATTAGGGTTGAGGCCAATTTTCAAAAACTGCGACAACGTATCAACATCGCATTCTCTGAAAGCTTTTACAAGTTTATTATATGCCTCGCCGTAAGATTTGGCAGGAGGAAGGTGGTCGATAAGCTGTTCTATTAGTTCATCTTCCATATTTTTTGTAATTTACAAAAACACTAGCAGCCTCACGGTCATAGTCATATCCAAATAACGGTAATTTTTAAAAGGATTTCGTGTTTCAGCATATAATTAGAAACTTATGGGCACTGGTAGTTATTGGGAAATTTTGAACTGATTCGCTCCACAATCATCACTAATGGAATAATTACTAACTTTGTAAAAAAAAAGACTCGCTTAGGTATACATGTATTCTTTATGACTGAAAACGACAGGAACAAACTGAAAAAAAGACGAATGCTTCCGTATTTCCTGATGACGCAACGTGAGCAGAGGAAAAAGTGCTCGTCGCAAAGCAGCAACTCGAACTGTCACCTCCCACAGCACGCAACACAACGTCTCTCGGAAGCCGCGGCCGCTGCGTTATTTTTAGCCCCAACTGCGTTGCTTCCTGGTAACACGAGTTAGTTTACCCTAAAATCCAATTCGCCATTTAAATAAATAAGACTCAGTAATCTATTTATTTTATTCATTATTATTACCTTAATGAATTTGACTGATATGCCTTTATGAGAAGTAAAACGCCCTCGGAAATACGGAAGCTTTTAAATATAGCAACGATTAGAAATCCAGGAGACCCAATTGTCTATAGCCGAGTTCTAACAAGATCCTGCAAATTCCAGGGATCAGAATTCGGGTCCAATTCCGAAACGAAGTCAGGTCCTTGTCGTTTGTTCTCTCATTAAGGGGCCTCAGACTGCATTCGGAATTTATGCATCGATTACGACTTTAGCCCGCCCAGTGCCTTGTGCTTATTATATGTAATATTTCCGATCAAACCTAATGTCTAGATGATCGGTCAGCTCGTTTCAGAGACACGCAAGCAAGGAAATAAATTTGGCTGAGATTCCTGAAGGTCTCGCCAAGTATGCGCGCTACGGCACGCTGTGGTGACCGGAAGAGCTCCGTCCGAGCAGCTAGGATTTGAGCTCGACGAGTGATTCGTTAGTAAATAAACTTTATTTATAAATCAAAATTAAGCTAGTTGCAATAAAATGAATATTAACTAATTTAAATAGAATACTAATTTAAATTGCATTTTACAGTACTGATAGGCGTGCTGCAGCAAAACGTTGGTCGTTAATAACTTCAGAAGGAGCATTATGGGAAAAAAATTGACAAGATGTTAATTCGATAATATATTATACCGTATTCATTTCAATCATATTGCCCGGTGTACAAGGTTGAGTTCAGAGTTTTGTTTTCGATTGTATTCAAGCTCTATTGCATAAAATCCTATAACATAAAAATAGGAGTCAGATCGAACATTTAATTAGGCAATATGACTAAATTGGCTGAGCATATCAAAAATATAAGTAAATAATTAAGATCTGGATAATTAACACAGATATTATTTTACAGGCATCGAATGGTAGTAGCATTAGGTTGGTATAAAAATTACTAGATTGCTCAAGTCGCAAGTTTACCAGGAATTTAAAAGCAAAGAAAACAGCCAGAATATTAACCATTCTTTAGAATGAAAACGTTTCGGAGTCCAGCTCCATCGTCAGTTCAAAAGTTCAAAACCTATAAGAAAATCAGAATCAATTAGAAAACTAAATTCACATCAACATAAGGAGACAGGCCTATCTATTTACAATTTCAAGGGGATAGGAGCTGAAGGCTGCATTTAAACCAGGTTTCTGTTTAAAAATGTACAGGGATGGAGATTATTTTGAACTGACGATGGAGCTGGACTCCGAAACGTTTTCATTTTAAAGAAATGGTTAATATTCTGGCTGTTTTCTTTGCTTTTAAATTCCCAGTAGGTTGGTTTGCTAGTGCTTCAGTTATCAACCTATTTCGCACCGGAGGCCAAAAATTAACTTCGTCCGCAAGGCGGAAGGACTCAATTATTCGAAATCTCAAATTAATCTTCACCCACAAGGGGCGGGAGGTCTCAATTGTCCAGCCCGCTGAAGCTGGCTCGAAAGAAGCAGCGTTAGCATCTCAAAGAGACGAAGTGACAAGGGGGACAGGTGAAGAGCAACAGAAACGAAGCCACTCGAACAAGAGGTCGCTTACACGGGACGTCGGCCGCCCGCACGGGGGGAGAGAAAAGAAATGTACAGAATCCTACCTACATAATAACTTTATGTAAGCAATCCTACCTACATAATAACTTAACCCCACAACTGAGATCTGCAGTCAGACACCGCGAGCTCAGCGGTGTGGCGCTCAGGAACAATTAATGTCCCTGGGAACGCGAAATCCCATAGGACTTCTGACAAGCACAGACACACGTCAGAAGGGTTGCAGGCATTGAGTTAATATGTGTTAGGAAATCTAATAAGAATATTTTGTAATATTGATTGCGTTTGAAACTTTTAATGCAAGATGGAACTTTGAAAGAACCAATTTGGCTGGATAGTTATAAGCAACGTGAACAGAGTTTAATTAGGGGAACAAATGTAACTGAGATCTGCAGTCAGACACCGCGAGCTCAGCGGTGTGGCGCTCAGGAACAATTAATGTCCCTGGGAACGCGAAATCCCATAGGACTTCTGACGAGCACAGACACACGTCAGAAGGGTTGCAGGCATCGAGTTAATAAGTGTTAAGTATCTAATAAGAATAGTTTCTAATATTGATTGCGTTGAAACTTTTAATGCAAGATGGAACTTTGAAAGAACCAATTTGGCTGGATAGTCATAAGCAACGTGAACAGAGTTTAATTAGGGGAACAAATGTAAACGGATTGACGAAAATAGAAATAAGAGACACGATCAGTCACCGTTTGATGAAACATCTCAACGATACCACGACAACGAACACAAGTAGCATGTACATTGTACAGCTGAACACATGGCTTATAGTTTTGGATCCCATGGGCCCTACATAAGTTTCAATAACAATAAACTTACTGTACTGCGATAAGGAGCAGTTGAATAAGTAGCGGAACAACTTCAACGGTAACGGGCGGTAAATGTAGATGATCATATTAAGAAAATACATCAACATAAAAGTATGTACCAGTCAAAATGAATGAGGAGAATTACATTTGAACCCCAGAAGCCGAAGGGAATAGAATATTTCACCAAGTCCGTATGAATACCATAAATATTTTAATAGTTTACATGTGTAATCATCAGCTTAGTTGGATCTTAAGTATACATTTCGTATTTTATCTAAATTTATATCACTGTACACAACAATTAAGCAGCAAAATAATTTTTCAGAGAAAATAAACACGATACGTTTTACTTTTTATCGATATCTCTTCTACTGCTAATTCGCGACATTTTTCTAGAGTCCATTTCAATAGAAATAATGTTAGACAACATCGCAGAAACGAACAAGAACAAGAAAGCAAACGAGAGAATGCGGTTTACCCTCGCAATGAACTCGTGATGTTCTTTCATATTTCGCGTCTCCTGCCGCTCGTATTCCTGCTGGGCGTGGAAGTCTCTCTCGGCGTCCTGCCAGTAGCGCTGCTGGGCGCGTCGCACCTCTTCAGGCGTCTGTGTGCGCCACCAGTGGCTGGCGCCTGCGTCCGTGGCATCGCCGTAGTGCGCTTGCTCCCACGCATCGAAATTGAAATGCGTATTGCCGCGCCGACGCTTCATTCTGCACCAAACACAAATATTTAGTTGCTGTGTATTGCCGCGCCGACGCTTCATTCTGCACATTTCTCCTACAATTTCGATTAATTCCACGTGAGTGCCATATATAAAGCACTGACATAAGTGTTAATTTACTGGGGAACATTGGAACATCCCTGCGTGGCATCTGCTAACACGGAATTGGGCGAATACGTAAGAGAAAGTTGAGACGCTTCAGGTGAAGGCGATTCTATATATGAAAAACGCATTGGATTATATAACATTTCTTTGGTTGACTTAGAAAAGGAATTTTACAATAAAAGATGGAGTTTTAAGTGAAAACCATGAATTATATCAACAATTGTAATAACAGACATCGAGCTATATTGTTGTAACTGCACAAAACATCAATATATTTATACGGACGTACCTGTACAGTGGATTAGGTGCCTTCCCAGACGCAACGGTAGGTTCTGGTCCAATTCCATGAAATTTGAGGTCATAGCTTTTACGTTTGGTCTCGTCCCCAAGGACCTCGTACGCCTCCGATATGGAGCGGAACTTTTCAGCGGCCTCGACGCTGCCTGAGTGCAGGTCGGGATGATGTTTCATGGACTGCTTGTAATACGCATGTTTGATCTGCACGCGGGGCGATAATAGGTACTCATCAAAAGATGATACAAATCAAAATGCAAACCAACTAATGCTTTCATAATTAAAATAAATTATCTAAGCTGCTTAGACTTCGCCCATAACTGAACAGCGCTAATTACATTAAGCATGAGCGCGTCTCGTTACGCCGATCGACACGCACGGCAACAAATAAGAATTGGCCTAATAGAAATATCACTGCTGAATGTGTGGTAGGACATTGTACTAAGGAAGCCTTGATTTTGTTATGCGACAGTAAAAAAAAAATATCTTTAAAGGAAGTAACTCATTTCTAGCCTAGCCTTGAAGAGGGCGCCAATACCCAAGGCGGTGATGCGTCTCATCCTAAAAAGTAAGCAAGTCTAGCAGCAACTTGTACTACCTTCAATACGAATGTTAGGACTGCGGTAATAATTTTCAATAATTACATCTGATGCAATACATGTCAACGATACAGCAAGTATCTATCAAGTGCATATTTCAAAAAGTAACGTATAAATATCTACAACATTACAGCATCTGTAGCTCGGCATACCTTCACTTTATGAACTACAGACACGGAGTAAATAAAGATTGTTTTTTAATTGTTATAATAATTTGGACGAACAAGGTGGCAACTACGTTACATACTTGCGCTTGCGTGGCATTAGGCGAGATCCGAAGAACGTCGTACAGCGAAGCCTTAAAAGAACTACAGGCCCTGGCAGTTGTTTTGAGGGGACAGGCGTGAGACTCTGCATCATAGGAGCACTGGTGGGGCAGCAGCACCCACCAGCAGCTCGTGAAGCGTCTGGCGTATCTCAGGGGCAACACAGGCATGTCGCGAGTCTCGGCCGCTCATACGGCAGTTTTTCCTCAAAAGCTTCGACTCGTTAGAGCCAAAAATGATCGTGAGATGGAAATAATCGTCCCAAAGCATAGGGGTGCTATGTTATTTAAATAATCTCAACCATAGGACATAATGTGGAAATATAGTGAATATAATTTCACATTTTTTGCACCAGAATTTTTCCAATTTATATCATCTTCATTTATATTTAAATGATTAGTTCGGAATAATTTGATATTAACTGCAATAATTGGATGCATCATCAGTTAAAAATAAAATTTATGATCCAGATTTTAGATAACCCAAGCATTAATTGTTACTATTATCATATAGTAATGGGCTTTCCATAAATTGATAATGGTCTTGGATTGAAATTTCTTGTAAACTACTTTTCAGAAACTTTTATGCTTTGAACAGCTAAAATGTAATATACAGTGAAAATTACCAAGCCTATTACTTTTCATAACTAAATTAGTAAATAGGTATCTAACGACAAACCCTTGGAGTGTGGATTACTTTAAGCTCTATTGGTATAAAGTGGCCTTGCGATGTATGAACAATTCCCAAACTTGTGAATTCTTGTTTGGGCTACTTGACAATTCAAAACAAGCCTAGGTAGCACACTGCATTCTCCAGTTAAACATTAATTATGAGCTTCCTTTAATCATAGAGGAAGAACACGCACGGAGTTCTCTCCAGGCCAGAACAGCCTATAATTTAACTTTATCCAACACGTTAGACTTCAAAAAGAGGATAACTCAGGAGCCCGGAGGATCGTTCATTTTCCCCAGTGGGGAGGAGAGTCCCACTCCCTGCGGGTGTGTTACACGGCCTAAGTTCAGGTAGCGGCCTAAGTACATGTAACGGCCTAAGTTCAGGTAGCGGCCCATTTATCGTCAGTGATTGGTGCGTTTGGCTTGAAAGCCGGCAGTGATTGCCGGATGGAGTTACGAACTTGTAATCATTTTTGACAGTACGGCACCAGAACGTTATAAGTACAAGTGTTTATGACAAAGTCTAAATCCACTTCAAATCATATTTTACTCTCGTTCCACTTTTGAGAGCTTTTAAATGGAAGCTGATTTATTTTTTACAATTCCAAACAGCCCTAATGATTATTTACATAAAAATATAACTACTAGAGACTAACACATTTTGACCTTCAATCCTTGACTAGCATGTTCAAATAATTATTATTGACAGCACAATACCGTGCCAAATTAAATCTAGCAGCTATACGCATCAGAAAATAGATAAATTATCGGTAGCTTTTCAGGGCCATTTAGACCACACCGTGAAGCCGCAATGCATTGAAGATAAAACAAGCAACAGTTAACCCAACAGTTATTGATTAACAAAATTTAAAATCTTTAATAATTAACATGATTGCAATTGAAACAAATAAAATTCCACGTCTGGAGAGGAAAATCTTTCTTCAGTGGATGTTAGCCAGCATCTTTTATTAACTTGTCTTTAACCGAGATGAATGCTGCCTGAAAAATGCTCAGTAGACCTTGTATCTTCAACTGATTGACCAAAACCTGCAGCGTGGAACACAGAACTACTCAGCAATATACTCGGCATCAGTAAACTATAACTTATAACTTTATAGATGAAACTTTATCAACTTTCTGGCTCCTTCTATTCACTCAAAACCATTACAAGAACCAGCCAAGTTGATAGCTTAACAATCAATTGCCATGCTCACATTATAATTATTTCTTATACTCTGGCATGAATGCAATGCTTGTGCATCAGATATAAATAAAGATGAAAAGGCCTCTGTTCAGAGAAGCTATATTTACACACCTACTCTTGTTGGAGTAAACAGGTACATACAGTTTTTTTCTGTTGGTAAATAAATCTTTTCAAAGACATACCAATACAACAGCCTGTTTAGCCACTGTTACCATTAGAAGACAATAAATTAACTAGAGTGCATAAGATAGAATAAGAATCAGCAACACAAGCTTCAGCTTCACGAAATAACAGACTACAACAACATTCATTTGAAAATCTACTACGGTACCTCTTCACTGCCACCATAGACAAAAATTCTTCTCTTTAAAAATTTACCGAAGCAAGTCATCATGGTTGCAATGAGACAAAATATACAAAGACAAATTTCAGGCGCAATATCAACAATCAACCAGACTCAACCTGTCCCTGCATAAATATTAATCTGAACACATCTAGGGAATATCAACGTTTCATTAATCAAATGAAATAATGACAATTCCTCCAATATATTATGTCTCGGAGAGGAATTTGAAAAATAACCAGGTTGGCTTTGGCTTTATCTCAATTTATTTATTTGTATTATTTTATTTTATTATATCATATTTTTGGTGTTTATTTCAATAAACACCAACTAGATAAATAAAATTCACATTTGAAATAAAAGATAAAGCTATGATAGTAAGAACCTGATCATTGGGTCCTCTTCTTCTCAGTCATCTGTTTAACAACATATATATGATTAGCCAGATAAATTTAGTATTATATATATATTTTTTACATCAAGACAATTATTAGTTAGAATTATATAAACAACACACCCAAAAAATGATTCTATTTACTTACAATTTATTTTAAAACTTACATGTCCACTTAAGCATTTTATAAAGCAATTTCAAGTAAACAGAATCAGTCTAATTAACCATTATCTCCAGTTAATGAGAAGTAAATTTTTCATAAAACAAAAGGCAGATCATAGAAGAGGCAATGAGCCATAAGAAACCACCACCCCATGAATTGAATCTGTCTTGACGATCTTTAATTAATTGTCTTCTTTTGATTCTCATAGCCTTCTGAGATTTGGTCTTGATCATTTGACTGTAGTGTTTTTGATGCCATTCATCCACATAGAAAGTTGATGGCTTCTGGCGAACAGGTGTCACTGCCTGAGAGCTTCTGGAAAACCAAAAAAAATTTAGGACAGCTCTTCAAAACATTAAGAACAGTGAAATTCATTCATTCTAAGTATTTTCAGTCTAGGCAATATCAATTGAGAACATTACATTTGGTCAATAATTTAAATCAGCATTATATGATGTCAATTTGTGCATATGCATAATAGGATTGAAAAAATGTGATTTCTTCAAATCAATAAATATGAAAGAACTTTTTCCTTTTTTATAGAACATACGTACAAATAGAGTCGATTAAAAATATTGAATTCATTCAGGGGAAGCTGCATTACTGAACCTCTTTTCATCAGAGCTTGGTGTGTCGGGTCCAGCAGTTGTTTTATACAAGCCTTTATCATAAAGCTTCTTCTTCTGAAGGTTAATCAGCACTTCATAGGCTTCACTTATGGCCCGGAATTTTTCAGATGCATCAATGCAATCTTGCTGCTGATCTGGATGATACTTCAGAGATAATTTGTAATATGCTTCTTTGATCTGAAATTCATCAAAAAGCAAACAAAATAAAAGTTTGTATATCTTGCTGAAAAATAATTCTATGTCAGTCATATCAGAGCTCAAGAGTAAATTCTGAATGTGGTCAGAAACTTAAAAATTAATAAACTGTAACTTAAAATTTTTTAACCAAGAAAGTTTAAAAATAAATATACCTCAATATCAAAAGGACAAAAGTTGAACTCTCATTGCAAGTTTTTTTTTTCTTTTTTAACCTGTTTGTTAGGCCCAATGTTCTTTCTGCAGCTCAGTAGGAATCAATGTGCAATTGAAGGAATATTCTAGCTTAATGTTTTGCATATACATAATACAATTTGTTTTGCACTTTATACCAAATTCAACTCTTAGTGAAATGGCCCAAAGAGAGCCAACAGTGGTATGAACACTAAGATGAGAGATAATTTCTCAAAACAAGGTATTCAACTCATGAAAAAATATTTTCCAGATATGAGAAAGGCATACATAGATCCATTCTCAATTTCCAGTATGGCATGTCAGTGTAAATGATCTTGACTTTTCATGAGAACAGAGAATTAAGATATAATAAATCTACAAATATAGCAAAATGTGTTACACTGATGAGCAACAGCCTCAGATGATGTAGGGAAGAGAGATGCTGCTCCTAGTCCTAATTATTGGAGAAAAATAGTTGGCAAGTGAAGATCTTGGTAATTATTAGTAATAAAAAGCTACAAGTTCAAAGTTCCAGAGCCTATGAAAAAGTTGATAGGGGACAGAGCAATGCCATTTTAGTTGACAGACCAAAATTGAAATCAATCTCTGCTGTTTGATGTTTAAAGTCAAATTTGAACTATGACAAAGCTGCCACAAGTGAAGTGAAACAGCCAGAATAATAATTTTTTGCTGACTATTATTTGTTAAAAATAAAAGAAACATGACTCAACTGCAAAATTCTCACCCACACATATTCAGAACAACACTTTATAGCATCGCAAGAAGAATATTGGCTTATGAACTCACCTGAGCTTGAGTAGATTTTTCACTGATCTCCAAAATTTCATAATAAGATTTCTTGGCTTGTGTTGAAAAGTATGATACTTGTCCTATGCTAGCTGTATGATGACTTAATGGCCGTATCTTGTGATTTGAATGAATTCTTAGAATTGAGTGACATGGTAAACATTGATAAGTTGATGATGTATGCTTAAGGCGACATTCTAAGAACAAATAGGGGATAAGTTGGCTTAATTTAGCATGAGCCACTCTGGGTTGATGGATTAGAATGGAATTAGCCATGCTAAAAAATTATTGAAGTGACTGTACAAAGCCATATGATTAAAAACTAACATTCTGATGGGCAAATAAAGAAATGAATCACTTTCACATTTTTTGAATCAAGTACCTACATTCCAAACATTGAAAAATGTTACAAAGAATGTTATTTTTTACTAAACTCTATACATCTACCTAGGCTCAAAATATTTAACCAATTTTGTGCTATTATTCATGAGCATTTTTTATCAAATGGTATAGCCTAATTCACCTTTAGAGAAACATTTAAAATTGACAATTAATAATTAGATTTAAATACTCATCAACGCTATAATGTGTAACTAAATGCGTAAGCGATTATGACGTGTAATCGAGTAAAATTTATTTTACATTTGACGTCTAAAATAACGATTCACATTGCATAATGATTTCCTGTTACCATACTCGTTTGAGATTTGATTACTATGTTATTTTGTCACAATTATGAAGAACTTCGGCCCTTCAACTGTTAAATCTTCAACATTCAATAAGGGACGAATTGGGCTAAAATATTGTTGAATTTAAGGAATTCCGAGATCGAGTATCTAAGACTCGCCTAAATGCCCTATATACAATTGGTGCATTTTAACACGTTGGCCGCAATTGCTGATTTGGCCCAAATGCCGTACGGGCAATAGGTTCAAACTTGTGTTATCTTCAGTTACCCGGTAGATAGCAAGGAGAAAAGTTGTGTGCAGCTCTGCAGGGGTATGTTCTGTCATTGTGTCAAGTAAAATTTGTGGCCGCATTTGGTGCACATCGCTCAGGGTTAAAATTTGTCATTATTCCTGGCAATGTGTACCAAATGAAGCCATGCCTGTTGTGGCTCATATTGACTCACGCCGCCTATCGTAATCACTTCTAATACTGTGGGCGATGTGTACCAAGCAAAGACATGCATCTATGGCTCATATTGCGGAAAAACGCCAAAAGTTATCACTCTTATCACTGTGAGTGATGCGCGCAATAAATCTATATTAGTTTTGAGTCATAATTGCACACATTATGACTACCGGTATCTCTTAGCTTTTTGTAAATGATGTATATTGCGCATGGAAATTACTATGGAAAGAGATTGGTGTCCAGGTTTTCATAATCCTGAATAAAATTGAGGGTATTTACATTGTTAGTTCAGTTATATTTAACATGTCATAAGCAGGCACGTCATAAGTTCAGATTGAGACACGGTGGAGATCAGACATGCTGCGTAGTCGCTCCAGGAGCCTGACCGCCTTGTTTTCTGCTTTGAATTGCTTCCGGAACTTTATTACCGTCGGGCAGTTGTGCTGTAGTTCCGGAACTTTATTACCGTTGGGCAGTTGTGCTGTACTACCGGAACTTTATTACCATTGGGCGGCTGTGCTGTACTTCCGGAACTTTACTACCATCGGGCAGTTGTGTTAAACAGGCTTGTTTCCGGTGATTTATTGTTTCTGGTGATTTATTGCTGTGAGAGACCTTAGCTAAATCTCAGTGAAGGAACCCAGAAATCATTAAACAATTAAGAAAGAAGATATTTCCATGGCTGGGAAGAAAGTAAACAAGATTGTTAAGGAATGCGGTTCTTCGAAACAAGATGCACCATAAAAATCAAACAGAAGGTCGAAGTGCGTAGTTGAAGATGCATGCAAGTTTTGCAAAGAGACCTTGTTGAAAGAAGATGATCAGATATTCATCTGTGAACACTGCAAGGATTTCATTTGCATAAGTTGCGCGAAACTGAGCTCTGAAGAATATTCTTTCCTACAGAAAACAGAGTTGTTTCACTGGTTCTGTAGCGACTGCGAGAAATCAACTCTCCGGGCCAGGAAAAGCGAGAAGCAGATGGAAGAGAATTGGTTTGCTCTGTTTGCAGCATTTTGAGCTGAAATGAAAAAAAAATTATTGGAAAGAGATAAACACAGAGAGAGTAATTTAGTTGGCTCTTTGAGTAATGAACTGAGCTTGTTGCGCAAAGAGCTGATTGAAGAGAGAGCTCAATGGAAAAATACAGAAAACTTGGAAAAGATGGAACTGAAGAATCACAACGTGGACATAGCCAAAATTGCTGGCAAAAGCACCCGCAAATTACTAGACAGAGAACAAAGGAAGTGCAACCTTGTTTGGTTCGGCATTCCCGAAAGCACTGCATCTAAGACGAACAAACGTGTGATGGCCGACAATAAGTATGTAGCAGACTGTTGTAGTAAAGCACTAAGCACACCTGTTGATATTGCATCATGCAAGAGGCTGCGCTCCAAGAATGCTGCTATTAATGCAGGCAGACCTTTATTGGTTACTGTGAAGGATCCGGCCCAGGTTTGGAGCGTGCTGAAAGCCGCAAAAAAAATTAGGAGAAACTGTTGAATTCAAGTCTGTTTTTGTGAAAAAGGATTCCACCCCTTTAGAGAGGGCGGACTTCTGCAAGAAATGGCAGGGCAGGAGCAAAACAGATGCAGAAACACGGAAAATCATGTCAACACCATTCAAGATCTCACGAGGACTCCGACCGCTCGCCGACAGTCATTGGAGATGGAAGACAATTAAATAGTGGAAATCATGTATATAAATCCAGTTCTGTAAATAAAGTAAAAAGTTTATTCATACATCAAGATGGAAGTGCAAAAAAAGTTTTGAAATGTTTCTACACAAACTCTGATTCCGTTTTGAACATAAGAAATGAACTGTTAACTGTGATCGGAAACGAGTGTATAAACATTATTTGTATTAAGAGACACTCCCCAAAAATCACAGGGGGGAAATTTTACCAGTTGAATTTCAGTTGCCAGGTTTTGATTGCTTTCATAATTCAAACAAAGAGCAGTGTAGTAGAGGTGTAGCTCTGTGGGTTAGAACCTTTTATGGGGCCCAACAAGTTAAGTTATCAGCAGAGCGCCAGTCAGCTAGAGAATCAGTGTGGTGTGAGCTTTCTTTAAAAAGCAGGGATAGCCTCCTTATAGGTGTCCTGTATAGATCACCCAACAGTTCCTCTGATAACAATAAAGTACTGAACAGTCTTCTACCAAGCATGACTTTCAGCAGGTCGCATACGTTAATCGTTGGTGACTTTAACCATCCAGAAATAGACTGGGCACATGAATCCTCTCCAAGGGATGAGAATCACCCTTCATCCTTGTTCATGGAGTCTGTGAGAGACTCATTTTTATACCAGCACATCACAAAGCCAACCCATTTTAGAAGTAATCAGACTCCAAATACTCTAGACCTAGTGTTTACTAATGAAGAATCAATGATAGAAGAGCTTCGCCACGAGGCTCCGTTGGGCAAAAGTCACCACCAGTCATTGTCTTTCAGTATTAAGTGCTACACAGAAAAGATGCCTCAGAAGAGTGAACGTTTCAACTTTGCAGAAGGCGACTATGTTAAACTTCGTGAATCAGTGAGTGCAGCGAACATTTTGGACTGTATCATGAACATGAATGTGGCGGAGTCTTGGTCATTCATCAAGAACGTAGTTATGTCTGCAGTTGATGTGTGTGTACCTAAGATAAAGCTTGGTGGAGTCAGAAAAACACAGTGGATGAACAATACGGTTAAAGCAAAGCTAAAAGAAAAGAAGGAAGCCTACAAGCGTTATTTACAACTCGTAGTGATGCTGAGTATAACCTGTATGCAAGAGCTCGAAATCAAGCTATAAAAGCTTGTTACACTGCAGTCAAAAATTTTGAAAAAGACATTGCCAAAAACTTGAAAAAGAACCCGAAAGCCTTCTTTTTGTATGCTAGTTCGAAGTGTAAGACAAGGGACGGTATTGCTAATTTGAATATGAATCAACGGAAGATATCTTCTGACAAGGGCAAGGCCAATGTTCTAAATCAGTTCTTTAGCAGCGTCTTCACAGATGAGGACTTGAACAGTATTCCAGCTATTGAGGAGCGACCAGTGGACCCAAAGTTAACTAGTTTTGAGATACATGAAGAGGAGGTTCTCAAGCGCCTGGTTTCCCTGAATCCCAACAAGTCATCTGGATCAGACGGTTTCCACCATAAGTGACAAACTAGAGTTTTTAGAATTGGTTCATTTTCAATTTCCTCATTTACCCAAGATTTAAACCAATTTCTTATGTATGATAATGCTGGTATCCTGGATACTTTACTGGTCTACTTATAAGACTCAAAAATGAACTTGATGGAGAGTCTAAAGAAGTCTCTGCTTTGCCACTATGGTTTCCACCCTAGATTGCTCAATGAATTAGCAACCGTCCTGGCCGGCCCTTCAACAGTATTCTTTCGAAAAACCTTAATCGAAGATACTTTGCCAGCTGACTGGAAAGAAGCCCAAGTGTCACCCCTGTTCAAAAAAGGTGACAGGAGTAACCCAGGTAACTACCTTCCTGTAAGTCTCACAAGTGTTGTGACTTGTGTGTGAGGTGATGGAATCGGTTATGAGGGATAGGATTATAGATCACTTGACTGTTAACCATCTTCTATCAGACTGTCAGCATGGCTTTATTGCTGGAAGATCATGCACCACTAATCTCCTGTCTACCTTGAATAATTGGACTTGCTTGCTGGATGAAAGTGTGTCAGTGGATGCAGTGTACCTCGATTTTGCCAAGGCATTTGATGGTGTTCCGCATGAGTGACTGTTACGTAAAGTGAATTCTTTGGGAATAGAGGGAAATGTACTCCAATGGATCAGGAATTTCCTAGTAGGCAGAAGACAATGTGTCAGCATTAACGGAACCGTATCAGACTGGGTAACTGTGCGCAGTGGCATACCGCAAGGAAGCGTTCTTGGACCTATTTTGTTCGTCGCTTTTATAAACGATCTACCAGAAGTAGTGTCAAGTGTGTGCTCCATGTATGCCGATGACACAAAAGTTTATAATACAGTTAAGAATGTGTCAAATAAAATGCAACTGCAAAATGATCTTGATAGTTTAGTTGACTGGGCTGATGCGTGGCAGCTGCATTTCAATGCTGACAAGTGTAAAGTACTTCACCTCGGCAAGAACAATGAACAGCAAGCTTACTGCATAAGAAGACACGGTTGTAACAAGAGGGTTATGATTGAGAAGTCTTGCGTGGAAAAAGATCTTGGAGTTTGTGTCGACAAGGAGCTAAAATTTTATAGGC